GGTGTACGAGGTGCACACGGGCAAGGGCGATGCCACGAAGGTGCTGGAGATCCAAAAGCTAGACGACTCACACAATCTGCACGTGTGGCTCAACAGCAGCAACGAAGGCGAAACCTCAGCTTGCAATCAGATCAATGGCACCGACGCCTCCTCCTATCCGCCATTCCGGCAACGCGGCGACTCCATGTACATCTTCAGTGCGGACATCTGTCGCTCTGTGCAGTTGTTTTATCAGTCGGACATACAGTACCAGGGCATACCTGGCTTCAGGTACTCCATAGGCGAGAACTTCATCAACGACATTGGACCCGAGCACGACAACGAATGCTTCTGTGTGGACAAGCTGGCGAATGTGATCAAACGCAAGAATGGCTGCCTCTACGCGGGTGCACTGGATCTGACCACCTGCCTGGGTGAGTGAAAAATTAAGCTGGGTGCTCCAGCTAGCTCTGCTTAGACTAGATTTAATTGCAAGCCTACTCTCAGGTGGGCACTGCTCCAGATAACGTATCTATCTTTGACGCAGTCTAATCATTGTACCTTATCAAATGTGTGAAGGTACCATTTAAATATCGTAATGTATGCACATTAATTTCAGCCCATGACTAGGCTTAGGTATCGCTTTATCAATTAGTTTGGCCCATATGAAGTGTATATCCGCGTTAAGTGCCCATTTATTTATGTCTATAAAATAATCATTTGACAGTTTTTTTTAAAGTATTTTATCTGTTATGCTAACGACGCTTAAGCCCATTAATATGGGCATTAATTAGACCTCCCCCAACCAGTAGAAACTATTTAATTTTCTACATAATTATCTAATCGTGTTTGTCACAGCCAAAATTAAAACTTTGGCTGGAGCTTTTCAGTTGGGGTGAAAAGATAAAGATAATTTATTCATAAGCAATTCCAGAAAATCCGGAAATGCTCAACATTCTTGTTTACGCGCCTAACGTGTTTGCTTAGCTATTGATATGTGACTCTGTTTCATATGCAAATCATCGTCTATTTCATGGCATCTATTTCGACATGCGTTTAGCTGCAAAGATCTGGAGCTGTAAATCAATTGTGACTCCCCTTAGCACATAGATTCTAGTGTCGCTGTCTCTATATCAAATGCAAATTTGAACAAGTTCAGGTCTTCCTTTGAAGGTGCAAAACGCATGGCTCATCAAATTAAAATTATGCGCTCGCCAATCAAATAGTCATAAAAATTCAAATAACAAATTCTTTTTAAGCTTCTTTAATGCCAATTTAAAGTTGTTTCTTAACTTTTATGAATTCGAACTTTGCGCACGCGCAAACAGCCCAACAAATTGCAATATCAATTGGAACAGCCAGCAGCTGTGTGGGTTAACTTGAGTCGTTTGCTCTTCATTTCAATACTCTACATGGAGTTTCTATGTTTTATAACATGCGCTATGCCTTGAGCGCTGCTGTATACGTTACGATTGCATTGTCCATATATGTTTGTATGTATATATAAGGTTCTGTTTTTTTGCATAATTTGCTAATGAATAAGATTTTTATGCTCGTTTAGGATTTGAAAGGAGCATATGGGGTTTTGGCAATTTGCAACGACTTGAAAGCTTAAATATATATGAATTAATAGATTTTTTCTTGATTCGCTTTTAAGTTGCACCTGGAAACTCAATCTAATAGCTGCGCTGCTGTTAACCTCATCTATACTATAATTGCCAAAAAGTCAGTTACTGTTTACCTTGGCTACGAATCTAATAAAAAGTATATATATATATCTGGGTAATGAGATCTTGATAAATAGACTTAAAACTATAAACAAACTAGGCTTGGCTTGCTGTTAATCTACTCTGTAGATCTGGCTTTAAATTATATCAATTGCCAGTCGAGTTCATGCACAAGCGAACGAGTATCAAACAGTTGCTTACGACCGACTAGAAACGTATCTGTTGTTACTTTAAAAACCTGTCAAGTCTTTTGCTGAAGTGATATTTCCTGGCATTAATCAGACTCGCATGACTGACTGAATGCAATTCTTATTATGTTTTCCAACTATCAAAGCTTAAAGAGTACAGTATTTATTTAAAATATATTCACTTATTCTGTATTTTATTCTCAACTGTCCTTTGCATGTGAGAGAGCATTAAATATTTACTATTCCTTTCAATGGCTGTCCATTGCTCTACAGCTACGTCGTTTATTGACCCATGCCAACTCGCATTTATTGTTAATTTCTTAATTAACACTTGAGTAGCAGCAGCTGCAAAAACTGATGCTGGCAGAGAAGCAGCAACGGCGCACCATAAGAAGATAATTTGTATTGCGCATTTGAAATGAAAAGTGTTGATGGCTGGTTTTATGGCTTCTGAAGTGCTCATCGGCTCATTATGATCTGCTCGAGAGGCGCTCTACAAATTGAAGCATTAAATTCCACATTCACATTTTTACTATCGTTATTTCTTATTTTGTTTGGGTGTTTGCTCGACGCACGTTTCAGACCTCAGACTTCACAGATTCTTGCCTCGTTTTAATTGGCAAAACGTGAGTAAACAGTTTCAATAATGAGCAGCCTTTGGTAATAGTTTGTCTGTGATATTCGCTATGCTACCCACCAAATGAGGAAACTCTCGAGCAAATTGGTCCAATGCTAATACTAAATAAATAAATATTTAATAAATAGACGTAGTCATTACTTCCGCGCTCAAAGAATTATTGAAAACATGGCCAAGTCGTGGGCAGTGCTAGCTACCAGTCTCTCCATGTGTCTGGTTGGCCTACAGATCCATTGAACTTCAATGAATATTAAGATTTTTCGAATATATATATATATATTTATATTTTTATTGCAAGCTGCTCGAATAATCCTGTTTTTCTTTCGTATTTTATATTTTGTAAACAATTCCAATTTAATAGCTTCATTGGCATTTTAATTTCGTTCTGATGCAAATCTTGAAGCTGTATAATACTTAAATCATTGCAATTATTTTGCATTACAGATGCGCCCGTCATACTGACGCTGCCTCATATGCTGGGCGCTTCGAATGAGTATAGGAAGATGATACGGGGCCTCAAGCCCGACGCCAAGAAACATCAGACCTTTGTCGACGTGCAAACGGTAAGTGGATCCTTGAACCCTTGAAAATGTTTATTGAAATTCACCATAAAATACTTATAAATATATTATCAATGAATAGCTGACAGGCACGCCCCTGCAGGGCGGCAAGCGAGTGCAGTTCAATATGTTTCTGAAGAGCATTAATCGCATTACGATCACAGAGAACCTGACGACTGTGCTAATGCCAGCTATTTGGGTGGAGGAGGTGCGTAGAATGTTGCCTAAATCAACGTCGAGCATACCCTATACCATTTTATTTTACAGGGCATTCAGCTGAATGGCGAAATGGTCAAGTTCTTCAAAAAAAGGCTCATCAACACGCTGAAAACTCTGGACATTGTGCACTGGGCGGGTCTATGTGGCGGCGTGGGCGTGGCAGCCCTTAGCCTCATCTATTATATCTACCAACGTGGCAGGCCTGTCAAGGAGCTCGTCAAGTAGGCAGAACGAAGCTGCGTGGCTGCGAGGCTTCAAGGTTGCGAGTACCTATATGTTATAACTTACCTATATGAAAAGAGAAACTACTATTATTATTATTGTAACACTCGACTAGAATTGCTCACGAATTTTTGTATATAATTTATTGTTTAAATGTGATTTTATTATATTGTGATTTAGCGCGTACTAAAAACTATGTTTAAACTAAAAATACAAATAAAACAAAAAGAAAACAATTCGCTTCGTATTTCCTAAGGGATTCCTTTAGCTATGTGTAAGCGCCTGAAAAACTTCATTAGGTTTTTCTGGGAAACAGAATTGAGTCTATTTAACAAACAACATTTAACCGCAGAATGTTGCCAAAGCAAAGCAAATCCAATTTACACACATGAAAACCATTAGCCAAGCCAAGTTCAAGATCAACTCGTAGCGAGTGTCAAAGAAATACATAAATTATTCATTTAGTGAATCAATCAATGGCAGTAAAATAGAAAAAAATAAAAAGTTCATTAAATACTATGCGCAAACTGCAAATTAAAATAGAGTTGTCTTAAATAGTTGCTAAAAAATAATATGAAAAAAGACAAAACCTGAAGATGAGCTTAGGCAATGCCTCGCTTGACTGAGGAGGATTGACCAAGTCCAATGAATGCAAACAAAAACAACTGAAATCAATGAGAGACAACAAAAGCGCCAAGGTGTTCGATTTCAATGCGATTGAGACACAAACACTCAGCTAAAGGGGAGTGGTTGGGGTCCAGTTGCTGGGCCTGTCATTCGGACTGACACTGACAGCGCCACTGGCAGGCGTTTAAAAACGCGTCGCAAAAGTCGCGCGCGGGCATTCTCAACCAGTTTTATAAGATCGAACATCCAAATGTAGCTGTTCTCTATCTAATCAATTTTCGAAATTAATTTCATTAGCAAATTTCTTGCTAATGGCCGAAGAAACTTTCGCATCTATAACGATCCATTACGGTGCCCCCACCCCTGCCCTTTCTCGGCGCTCCCCTTTCACTCGTGGACATCTCATAGACAAAGCGTCTGCGCCCAAGAACCTTTCCATTCTATTCCATTAGATCTGGTCAATAATTATGCAATACGCACACACACACGCGAACACACACGGAGTGTGTGTGCCCCACAACCAGTTTGGCATCGCTGTCGTCATACTGTATATATTCAAATAGCACCAACTTAGCTTTTGGCTGGGCTCAAGATGAGACCCGCTGCCACTGGCCCGATCAGTCGACAACGAAACGCGCTAAAGCACGCAGCGCCCCCCTCGACAAAACCGAAAAAGCAGAAGCCTCTGCTCGAATATATCATTTGAAATTTAAATTTCGTTTCATTTCGTCTCGATTCGGCGCGGCTCGGCTAAGGACTGTCTCGCTCTCTGTCTATATAGAGCAGCATAGATATATATATAGGCCTCAGCGCGCACTGTTCTGTGTCAAAGCATCGCAAGATGTTGTCAGTGTCGCGTTCATTCTCGCTGCTGCTGCTGCTGCTGCTCTGCCTACTGCAGCAGAACTCGGCCAGAATCTTCGAGCGCTGCGAGCTTGCTGCCCTGTTGCAGCAGCGGTACGGACTGCCAGCTGCCCAGGTGGCCACGTTGGTCTGCATTGCCCAACATGCGAGTGATCTGAATACGGCTGCCTTCGGCGGTGGCAGCGGACCGGGCGGCGGCTCGCACGGCATCTTTCAGATCAGCGACGTCTACTGGTGCTCGCCTCCGGGTCAGGGTGGTGGCTGTGGACTGAGCTGTGCGCGTTTGCGCGACGACGATATTGCGGACGATGTTTTGTGTGTGCGTAAAATCTATGCGGAGCATCAGCGCATCTCCGGAGATGGCTTCAACGCCTGGCAGGCCTACAGCGCTTACTGTCGCCAGGATGCAGCTTCCTACGTGGCAGGCTGTGGCAATTCCAATGCTCTGCAGGTGGCTGCTTCCTACCAGCAGCCGCAGCAGCAGCAGGTGAGCTATCATCATCAGCAACATCACCATCAGCAGTCGTTGGCTCCAGTGCAGCCTCGGGGCAAGATCTACAGCCGCTGTGAGCTGGCACAGGAGCTGTTCTACCAGCATAAGCTGCCCATGCAGCAGATACCCACCTGGGTGTGCATAGCTCAGCATGAATCCTCCTACAACACGGCTGCAGTGGGTCGCCTGAATGCCGATGGCAGTGCGGATCACGGCCTGTTCCAGATCAGCGATCTCTACTGGTGCACGCACGACCAGCGCGGCGGCAAGGGCTGCCACGCAGCCTGCAACCAGTTCCTGGACACCAGCATTGCGGACGATGTGCAGTGCATACGGCGCATATTTCAGGAGCACACACAGATTTCGGGCGATGGATTCAATGCATGGACTGTCTACAATCGGGACTGTCGTAATCAGCGCTACGAGCAGGTGGCCGCCTGCTTTGCCAAGCCGCCTCTCGTAGCACCTGCCACGCATCCCAATGCCATTGCCGGGGGCAGCAAGGTCAGCTATGCCTATCCGTTCGCGCCGCCTCAGCTGTTGGCGCCTGCCACGACACCGAATCCCTACTACCGACCTACCCACAAGCAGATCAGCTACCAAGCAGTCCAGGCTGTGTCCAGTTACCAGAGCAATCCTTTCCTGCGCCCTCGCCTACCTTCGCCTACGTCACACACTCAGTCGCATCCCAATCTAATTGGGAACATTGTTAAGTCACAGTTTGCAGGTGTTTACAGCACGCCAGCAACGAATCCTTTGTTCAGCTACAAGCAATACACAACACCCAAACAGCAAACACAGCAGCTACACTATTCATACCAACAACACCAACAACAACACTATTACACAACACCTAAGCGAGCTGGTAAAGTTTATAAACGCTGTGAATTGGCGCAAGAGTTGTATTTCTCACACAAGTTTCCAATGCAGGATTTAGCTACTTGGGTGTGCATCGCAGAGCATGAGTCACGTCTGGATACGTCGGCGGTGGGGCGCCTGAATGCGGACGGCAGCGCGGATCACGGTCTCTTCCAGATCAGCGATCTCTACTGGTGCACGCATGGCGGGGGCGTCGGAGGCAAGGGCTGTCACATCGATTGCGACCGTCTTCTCGACTCGGATATCGCGGATGATGTGAAGTGCATTCGGACAATACACGAGGAACATACGCGCATCTCCGGAGATGGCTTCACGGCCTGGACAGTGTACAATGGACATTGTAGGGATAGAAGCAGAGCGGAGATTGCGAGCTGCTTTGAGCCGAGTGAGTTGGAAAAGGAACCCGTGAAACCAGTAAAGCCAGCTTACAATGAGTTGGTAAGAAATCCCAAGCCCAAAGGCAAGATTTACAGTCGCTGTGAGCTGGCACAGGAATTGTACTACAAGCACAAGCTGCCCATGCAGGAGATACCCACTTGGGTATGCATAGCTCAGCATGAATCCTCCTTTAATACGGCTGCAGTGGGTCGCCTGAATACCGATGGCAGTGAGGATCACGGTCTGTTCCAGATCAGCGATCTCTACTGGTGCACACATGGAGGAGGCCCTGGAGGCAAAGGCTGTCACATTGATTGTGATCGCTTGCTAGACTCGGATATCACGGATGATGTCAAATGCATTCGGACTATACATGAAGAGCACACGAGACTATCAGGAGATGGCTTTACTGCTTGGACAGTGTACAATGGACATTGTAGGGATAGAAGCAGAGCGGAGATTGCGAGCTGTTTCGAACCAAATGAGCTGCAAAAAGAACCCGTGAAACCAGTAAAGCCAGCTTACAATGAGTTGGTAAGAAAACCCAAGCCCAAGGGCAAGATATACAGTCGCTGTGAGCTGGCACAGGAATTGTACTACAAGCACAAGCTGCCCATGCAGGAGATACCCACTTGGGTGTGCATAGCTCAGCATGAATCCTCCTTTAACACAGCTGCAGTGGGTCGCCTGAATACCGATGGCAGTGAGGATCACGGTCTGTTCCAGATTAGCGATCTCTACTGGTGCACGCATGGCGAGGGTGGTGGTAAGGCTTGCCACATTGAATGCGATCGTTTGCTGGACTCTGATATTATGGATGATGTGCAATGCATTCGCACTATACACGAGGAGCACACGCGCATCTCTGGGGATGGCTTCAACGCCTGGACAGTGTACAATGGACACTGTAGAAGCCAAAACTTGGCGCAGTTAAGTGATTGCTTTTCAGGCAATGAAATTTCCGAGGCGCAGAAGGCCAATCACTATGAGAAGCAACCGAAGGTGCCTGTCCCGCAACATCAGACTGTTGTGAAGATCGCAGCTAATCATGACTATGGCGCAAATCCTTTTCTACAACGTCTAAGCGCAACACCGACTGTCAGACCTTCAACTGCCAAACCTGCAACTGCTAAGCCCGCAACGACCAAGCCTGTCAAGCCTCCAGCCCAAGTTGCTGTGGTACCTAACCATCCTTTTGGCGCAAACCCTTTTTTGCAGCTGCTAAAACCTCAGCAGCAAGCCGCGATAACCAAACCCGCAGATCGACCTGTAACATTTATTGACCAAGCAGCTGTTTCAAAGTCCGAGTATAATCACAATCCGTTTCTAAAGCCTTCTAATACACATTCAGCTAACACTATTCAAGCCACAGTGCCAAATAAACAAACTGCTTTGCCTAATCAATCTCCCGCCTATGAATCAAATCCATTTTTGAGTCTTGTTAGGAGGCCTGAAAGCGACAAACACAAAATAACTACCACTTCTAAGCCAACAGTGCCTGCCAAAGCTACTCATCATCCATACATAAGCAGCGATAGCTTTCGCCAGGAAATTATTAAATTTACGGCCACGTCGTCAGCTTCGGCAGCCCATCTACAACAATCAAGCACAAAAACAACAGCTATTACAACCAAGCCATCAACAACACACAAAACGACAACTCGGTCAACAACAACATCTGTTCGACCCTACACAACAGCTCGCCCATTTACCACGGCTAGGCCAGTTACTACTTTGAAAGTCACAACTCGCGCGCCAACCATCCGGATATCGACAACAACAGCGCGTGCGACACCAACAACCCGCCGTATCACAACAACTACTGCGCAACATGCATCGCATCATACAACAAACACTCAGAGTACATTAGCAAGACAAACAACAACTAGATCCACTACGCGCCAAACAACTGCAAAGCCCACAGCTCGAATTACTACAGTCAGATCCACAACTCAATACCCAACGACTAGATCCACAGCTCGTCCCACAACGAGAGCAACAACGCGTTCCACTACGATTGCTACAGCTCGACCCACAACAAGATACACAACTCGTTCGACTACGATAGCTACAGCTCGTCCCACAACGAGAGTCACAACGCGTTCCACTACCATAGCTACAGCTCGTCCCACAACGAAATCCACAACGCGTTCCACTACTAGAGCTACAACTCGTCCTACATCCAGAGCTACAACGAGATCTACAACACGTTCCCCAACAATAAGGCCCACAACGCGTTTTACAACAGCGAAATCTAAAACGCGCTCCACAGCAGCAAGAGCAACCAGTCGTTTACCCACAACCCGTTCCACAACGCTACCCACAAAAGCAAACCCCACGGTTCGTTCTACCTTAGTGAGTCTTACAACGCGTTCCACTACAGCCAAGCCCACAACGACAAGATCTACGACACGTTCCACTACGAGAATCGCTCTACATTCAACGGCAACAAGACCCACACTTCGATCTACAACAACCTGGCATCAATTTCCAGCAGTACCGACAACAAGTACAGCCCGCCCCACACTGAGAACCTCGACCACCTACAAAACAACAACACATTCGCCTACAACAGCTCGCCCAAGCACCAAAAAACCACATCCTTTCATCGTCCCATCGACCACGCCAAAACCCTATTTGTTTACCACAACAAGACCACAAACAACGACGCCAACTCATCGCCCCACAATCACTGTAAACAGTTCAACGACAACAGATCCATTCGATCATCCATTCTTTGCGAAATTTAAAGCCGCATTTGATGCAAGTCGAACGTCGCCATCTGCTGTCACAAAGCCCACCACGACGACCAGTTTGTCCAACCAATCCAAATTTACTGCCAGCCCGAATTATGCCAAATTTCAGGAAAACAGTGCCAAGGTGGTAGCCAAAACGGCGTATGACTACGATTTTAGCCGGAATAGAACAACGACCACGATTCGCCCTTACTCGACCGACACCAGAATAGATCTAAGGTTTAGTAACGAGAACTAGATTTATGGTCGGGAAACTTGTAAATATGTGTATAATGCGGCTAGTTAAGTTTGTAAAATGACGGAATACTCATAAATTATTAATCTTAAGCTACATAATTATGATTTAGATAATAAAACTGAAATGAACCATATAGAAATATGCGCAAAAATTATTTAAACCAGTCTGAAGACTTGACGACATGCAGAGGCTTAATGCTGCCAACATCTGCCGCGACATTAAGTGGATGTTTTTTGATTAATTTCATTAACTTGTTTTCGGTCGGGTGTTAGCCTTGTTAACATAAACAGCAACAAAGGCATATACACACGTCAACAGCGAATGGCGTGAGATAACAAGTTATCAGATTATTATGCATTTCAATTTTAATTTTTATGAATTATTCTTCTTTCAGAATCTTTATGTTCTGCATTTAAGCTTTATTGAATTCTATTATGACGTCAAGTGTTATTTTAAAATAGACTTAATGTTGTGTTGTATTCCCGCCTACAACTTTGGTATTTTAGAACACTGAATTAAAATTGTGGAGGCTGTCAATTGACGATCATCCTCAAGTTTCTATGAAATCGATAATTTGCTTTTTTAAACTAAATATTTAAAAACTAATGTACTTCTGCTACAATTATACATCATTCAATAAGTAATTCATAGCCTTGATAATTAATTAAACAATATAAATATTAAGTTTGAATACAATTTATTTAGTATTTTGACCTTAATTTTTTTATTCGCATTTTGTTGCTTGCTAAAGTTGGTCACACTCATGTAAAAACTAATCTGCTTTCGGTGGACGGTTCGTAAACATTCATTTGTTGATTTTCGGCAATAAAACCTAACGTTTAACGTTTAAAATGCGCTCCAGTGAACCGAGTTCAAATGCAAAATGAATTGAAGTGAGTGCCTTAGTCAAATAAGCCACAAATTTCCAAAAACTACTGCAGTCTGTACCAACACCAACATCACGTCAACCGCCAGAAGATAGCGACAGTCAGCAAACGCCCTACTTAGCAATAATTTGCATGCTACACTACATTCTTGAAAATTATACATCCCGCATATATTACATTAATGACTACGTGTAATAGGTCAGATATTGATACACGAAAATGCGTCGGCAGAACGTGACAGAATTCCAGGACAGAGAATGACAATTTTTTAATTTGCGTGAAGTCGGCTGCGCGCAATTTGTAACTCGCGTGAAGCTGGCTGCGCCTAACTATCCACTCCCGTGAAGTTGGCCGTACGCAACTTTTGACTCGCATAAAATAAGCTGTACACTCATTTTGGGCTGGCAGTGCCTCTCTCTTTAACGACATCTAGCGGCAGAAGTTAACATTTTCAGCGTTGCCTTTTGTCTCGCACTTTTATCGACGTCTGTGCCCCTTGCGCGTTTACTGTCGTTTTGCACGCGCATTCGTGAAAATGGCGGCGTTGTCGCTCGGTCGCTGCCAAATTTTTTGTACATCCAAAATAATCAAAATAAAGCGACAATAAATACAGTGCTAAACAAACAGTCTGTGCCAGAGGCCGCGTGCGCGCGTGTGTGTGAAAATACAATAAAAGAAAAACATTCTGGCCAACTCAAAGAATATATTTAACATTAATCAGCTAGCGACAAGGAGTTAACGTCGTCGTCGTCGCCAGCGCATCAGCAGCAGCCGCGTGAATAAGCGAGTGCGATTGCAAGTGCGAGCGCTTTGCTGCGGTTGTCGCTTGTCAACGGAGCACCCAAAGGCTTTGGCCAAGGTGAATACGAATATAATTATGCTAAATTAGCATCGCATCGTCTCGTTTGTCGGCTTTCACCTGCGTCCCACACCCGCAGCCTTCCCCTTCCCTAGTAAACATCTGCGGCTCTTTCAAGCGAAAGGAGAAAGAAAAGAAAAATACCACGCACTCGCGTTTTATGACCCACAGGTATAACTGTGCCACAGCCAGGTAGTGGAAGCAGCTGCAGCCCCGCGATAGTGTAAAAACAACACTAATTATTATGTGTAGATTTTCCGCTATAAATACTAAAGTGATTTAAAATTTGCATTGCAGTTCGCATCAGACGGCTACGCAGCATGCGAGTATTACACAGGAGCCGTAACATCAACATCAATAATAATAATAACAACATGGCACAGATGCACAGTTGATCAAGAAACCAGGCGGCTAAAGAACGTCACAAGCAGAAGAGAAACTGGGAAACAGGGCCGTGTCCATTTCCGGCTCTTCAAGCGCCAACGCTTCAAAAAACGAAACCGCCACCGCAACCGCCACGCAATGAATAGCAGTCAAACGGCGCCAACGGCCACGTCGGCCGCCGGCAATCGCATCACCTTCACTACCCAGCCGCTGCCCAATGGCACCATCAATATAGGTGGGCCAGGAGGCTCGGGTGTTGGCCCGACGATCATCTCAACAGCACAGCTGCCAAATACGACGACGATCAAGACCATAACAGCGGGCATTGGAGGACATGGGGTGCCCGGTCTGTCGCAAGTACAACATCAGGTGCATCAGCAATCACATCAGCATCAGCAGCAACAGCAGCAGCAGCATTCGCAATCAGTAGGTGCCACCCAAACACAAACCTTAGTTATTAAATCCAATCACCATGCTGTCACCCTGCCGGCGGGTCTAGTATCAAGTGCACCAGCAGGAATCGTAACAATGACCAAGACCATCAATCAGGTATCCACCATCAAGCTAAACTCCCAACGTACTCGTCTTCTAGTGAGGCGATAGTAGCGCCAGATTCTGATGCAAATCATTTCGCATCTCTCTGCCTGCGTCCAATGGTTAATCCTGTTCCACACACTCACATTATCCTCCTCACTTTCCAAACTCTCTTCAATTTCCTTTTGCTTCCTACTGGACACGATTAGCGTGACCTACAAAATTGTGACGATCAAAACACCTAGTAGTGAACAGTGAACTATCGGTGTAATGAACATATGTACTTAATCAATTATTAGGCGCTAAATTAAATTTGAAACAATGGTGTTCCTGATTGAAACAATTTTTAAAATTATATCCTAAAATCAAAAAGAAAGTTATTTTGTGGTTTAAGGTCACTGTATTGACTGTTCACTGTATTCAAAAAATAAGAATATTATATTCATTATTTATGAAGCAACGTCCTGGTTTTCGTTACTTATTACAAAATGCAAATTCTATTTTTCTATTTAAACGAAATTTCACGAATTGTGAATACCCTTCCCACTGTCATACCAAAGAGTCAATGTCTCCTGCTCCACACTCTATGCTTTAAATTAAAAACCAAATTATGTATTATTTGTAGAGTTCTATTTAAACAAATCGCTTTTGTAGTACAACTTGTAGACGACTTTCGAATTGGTCAGCACATATATTACAAATTCTCATCTCATCATTTTTAGTAGACATTCTCGTATATTCCAACTAAATTTTATGTATTTTGAGCACACAGACACATTTACACACACTTCTTCCATGCACATTTGTTTGACTGTGATCTGTGAAAGAATGAACTGTGACTCACTAAGTGACTGGACGCAACTCCTGTGATCTGCTGCATGTTGTAGTGAAAAAAAAAAACATCAGAAAATGAAAACTATCAAAGCTTTTGTATGCCGCCTATAGAAACCCCAACGTCCAGAAATACATTGAAATGTTGTACTAATCCTTGCTCTATTCACAGACCGGGCAGCCGCTGCTTAATTCTATGCTGCCTGCCGGCGTGGTGGTCGGCATGCGTCCGCAGGCGCCGACGCAGCAGCAGCCAAAGAATATGCCCGCAAATTCGCTCAGTCGCGTCGTCATCAGCAACTCTCACATGGGTGGCGTTAGGCCACAGAGTCCATCGGTAAGTGTGAACAATGAATGTTAAATAGAAGAATGCGTGTATTTGTAAGTTTTGTTGTTGTGGTGGGCTCTTCTCTACTAATCCACAAGGCTCCCTAATACAGCGCACACTCATGCACCCAAATATCCACCCAAACACACATACATACATATCTGTACATGCATTTATATCAACGGGTACCCCTTGTACTTGAACTATTCTCTGTCTATTCTCTCTATTTCTCTCTATTTTAGATAACTTTAGGCACACTTAATACAGGACAAACGCCTGCACTGTTAGTGAAAACGGATAATGGATTTCAGTTGTTGCGCGTGGGCACGGCCACAACGACGGGCCCGCCGACGATGACACAGACCATATCTAACACCAGCAACAACAACAATAATAACACCACAACAACAACCACAAATCATCCCATTACCACACAGATACGTCTGCAAACTGTGCCGGCTGCAGCTGTAAGTAGATATCATGGCCAATCGTCATCACAACAACAACAACAACAGCAACAGCAACAAACGCAGCTGCAGCAACAGCAACAACAGCAACAGCATCAAACAACACAAGCATCCTCGCAAGCAACAACTGCCAGCACTAGCATTGCACTGCGCAAAACGATTGTCCGTACATCATCCACAATCCTCCCATCCAGCAATAATAATATTAATAATATCACCACCAATACCACCACCACAACCACTACCAACAACAACAACAACAACAAACCCGCTACTAACTTGCATCAGCAGCAACAGCAGCAGAAGCTACAGCTGCAAATGAAACAGCAGCAGCAACAGGCACAGCAGCAACATAAGCAACAGCAGCAGCAACAGGCCTCTGCCAGTGCCAGCAGCGCAGCCGCCGCGGCAGCCGCAGCTGCTGCGGCAAATGTCGCGGCCACAATTAAGATCAAGCAAAACGTAAAAATCAAAGCCTAACTTGTTTTGAAATGGAAATACGCATAATTTCCAAAATTTTTCAATTGCTATATATATTCTCTAAAACGCCTCTCTCTTGTCTGTTTATGCATTTGATCTGTTTTTTAACACTACGCTTCAGTTTTCAATTTTGTTTAGACTTTCGGCCAGACTTCGAGCATTCGATTGTTCGACTGTTCGCCAAACTTTTTCAATTTTCATTTCAATATATCTTACAATATATAAATATGAATATAAATATATAATAATTGTACTTTAGCTCAGTTTTGCATGCTGCGTTGTAACTGTCTGTGTATTTGACTTGACGTATTCTTTTGATTTACTTTTTTTTTCGCTGCGAAAAACGCGTTGCTGTTCGTAAAAACAATCATCGAACTCTATTTATCATTTAGAAACTAAGAAGCATAATTATCATAAGCTAGGCATCAAAGGCTCTTTGGGCTCCAAAGGGGCGTGTGTGTAATATTAAACAAATCTTTTTTTTTTTCAAAACTACATAATCAATTTTTAAAATTTAATTCGTGATAACAAAAACACTTAAAATATTTTTTGGCGTTAACTGATGTTTTTCCTTATTAATCACATGACCACAACTGACCCACACACCACATGCACTCATTCCACACACACTACCCCACTAATAGGAGCCCGTAGCCCATGAGCGCCTCCATAAGAATCATTGAACTATTTTCTTGTTTTAACTTATCGCTTATCGCTCTTAATTTGCACTGACTATGCATAGTTTATTTAACTACTTGGTTGTTAATCTGTAATATTTGTTTTAACCACAGTCGATGACCAACACCACCGCCTCCAGCAACATCATTGTCAACTCGGTGGCCAGCAGCAATGCGCATAGTTTCACCAGCGCGACACATCCGCCGCATTTGGCGCAGTTACAGCAGCAGCATCCGCCGCATTTGCCGCAAGTAACGCAAATCCAAACGATACCAGCCGTACAGCCACATTCGCAGGCAAACAATGTCCAAGTGTCATCGGCAGCGAATGCAGTGGCGACGGCGAATGCGAACGCAACAACAACGTCAACGGCTGCGCAGGGCAATACCAAAGAAAAGTGTCGCAAGTTTTTAGCCAATTTAATTGAATTGTCGACACGCGAACCCAAGCCGGTGGAGAAAAATGTGCGCACGCTCATCCAGGAGTTGGTCAATGCGAATGTGGAGCCAGAGGAGTTTTGTGATCGCCTGGAGCGTTTGCTCAACGCCAGTCCACAACCGTGCCTCATTGGGTTTCTTAAGGTAAGTAATCGCAGAATAATTTGTTTCTTTAAATACTAATTTGTGCCATTATCCACAGAAAAGTCTGCCACTGCTGCGCCAGGCGCTTTACACCAAGGAGCTGGTTATTGAGGGTATCAAACCTCCACCGCAACAAGTGCTCGGATTGGCTGGACTTCCGCCGCAGCTCCCGGTAAACATTCTTATTTCTCATTCAATCAATCAAACATAACAGATCCCCATATAATCTTTTTACAGAAAATACAAGCGCAAATCCGTCCTATTGGACTCAGTCAGACAACAACCATTGGTCAGACGCAGGTGCGGATGATAACACCAAACGCGCTTAACTCGCCGAGGCCGACCATTGGCCATACGACGATATCCAAGCAGCCGTCAAACATTCGATTGCCCACAGCGCCGCGTCTGGCCATACGCGGCCAAATGCCTTCGCTGCCAATGTCCGCGCAGGCGGTAAGTATAGAGATAACTCCTGTTCTTGGGTAAACATAGTATACTCACCCTCTCTTCTAACATCCTCACAGAACATTGTACAGATACGCGGTCCGCATAACGCACAGTTGCAGCGCACGGGTTCGGTTCAAATACGCGCCACATCCCGTCCGCCAAACAGTACGCCCACGAACAAACTCACTGCCGTCAAGGTTGGCCAGACACAGATCAAGGCCATAACGCCCAGTTTGCATCCGCCCTCGCTGGCGGCCATATCATCAAACAGTGGACCGCCAACACCGACGTTATCAGTGCTATCGACGATAAATTCAGCATCGACGACATCTTTGCCGGTGCCTTCGTTGCCCACAGTGCTTCTGCCGCCAGAAGCATTGCGAGCGCGTGAACAGATGCAAAATTCGCTGCATCACAATAACAACAATCACTTTGAGCCAAAGCTGGTGGAGATTAAGGCACCGCAACTGCCCCATATGGAACGTATAAATGCGTCGCTGACCCCTATTTCGGCTAAAACGCTGCCACGTGGTGCGTTGCCTATGGCCAACAAGTCGGTGAGTAAAAAGAAAAGGGATGCAGTGGACCGGGATGGTAAAGATGAGAGGGCGAACAGCGGCAGCGGGATGGCAGGATCAACAGCAGCGGCAGCCAATTCATTTTTCCAGCAGAGCTCCATGTCGTCGTCAATATATGGCGATGATGATATCAATGATGTCGCCGCTATGGGCGGAGTTAATCTGGCCGAGGAGTCGCAACGCATTCTTGGATGCACCGAAAACATTGGCACGCAGATAAGGTCCTGCAAGGACGAGGTGTTTCTCAACCTGCCAGCGTTGCAGGCGCGAATACGCGCGATAACTGCGGAACGTGGCTTAGATGAACCGTCGCAAGATGTGGCCGTACTCATATCGCATGCGTGCCAGGAGCGGCTTAAGAATATTGTGGAGAAGTTGGCTGTGATAGCGGACCACCGCATTGATGTCATCAAGGTGGGTTACAATTTTCAATGCTCGCCAATGCAGCTCTAAATAAATATCTCTACCTCACAGTTGGATCCACGATATGAGCCCGCGAAGGATGTGCGCGGTCAAATCAAGTTTCTAGAGGAGTTAGACAAGGCTGAGCAAAAGCGGCATGAGGAGCTGGAGCGTGAGATGCTGTTGCGAGCAGCCAAGTCTAGAACGCGAGTCGAAGATCCCGAGCAGGCAAAAATGAAGGCGAGGGTAAGCTCAACAACTATCTGCTAACTACCATAAGCTTCTCTAACATATTTTCTTCATCCAGGCAAAGGAAATGCAGCGAGCGGAAATGGAAGAGCTGAGACAGCGCGACGCAAATTTAACGGCATTGCAGGCAATTGGACCGCGGAAAAAACTAAAACTGGATAGCGATGCGGCCGGTGTGGGCGTGGTGAGTAACATCAGCTTACCAACGACCATTCCATTGCTAACTCAACAAATTTGGCGTCTGCTCTACACACACAGGGTTCCAGTGGCGGCGGTCTGATGAGCAACACGGGTACGGCGAGTACAACGTTAAGACCGCGCATCAAGCGTGTCAATCTGCGCGACATGCTCTTCTTTATGGAGCAGGAGCGAGAGTTTTGTCGCAGCTCGGTGCTGTTCAAGACTTACCTCAAGTGATTGCTGCTGGCGACGCTGTTGTTTACATACCTACGCATCTATAACAGTTCTCCTGCGCCTGTCCCTACTCCAACTGTAACTCCAACTCCTGCTCCTGTTCTGTTCCTGCTCCAGCTCCAGTTCTAGCTTTCCTTGTTCTATTTGCGCCTAGCAGCTGCGTTCATCAATTTGCAATATAATTTAGCTGTCACATTTAACTGCGTCGTCTTTTTGTTGTTTTAGTTAGGCGCCCTATTTAAATAACATATGCGTAGAAATACCAACTAAATTGTAATTAAAAATTTTTAAATCTGATGACAAATCGTTTTCCAATCAAATAGCCAGCAGCACTTAAACCAAACCAATCCAAAAAAAATAAAAGAAGAAAAAAGAAAACCAACACAACTCACAGTAGCATAAAAAAAAACAAAACTCAACGTGCAGTCAGCCAGCGTATGATTTTGTAATTTTTAACATAATTAATTGCATTAATTGCATTGACGGCCTTATCTAAACGATATAAACATATAAATAATATGATTAAATTGTGTAGCTTAGTTTGTTAAACGAAATCGAGCGTAATTTTAGACTTAAGTAAGATTGCGACATTCAAGTCCGAGGATCATAAAATGGTTTTTAAAACCATCATGGCATACAAAAGGAAGAAGAAACAAGAGAGAATACAATTATAAACAAAAGGAGAAATATCCCCATAATGCATACATTGAACTAGTTGTAGTTGTTTAAACAAATTGATGTAATTTTAATTAGATTATGTATAAAACAATTAACAGAAAACAAACGATAACAAAACAAAATACATTTGTAAAAAGTCCAGACTAAGTTTTTCAATAGTTTAACTAGGTAAACGCAACGTAATTAACAAATTTACGGCAAAGAACTAAAAACCGAACGTAGTTTTAGGCACTAAAAATATGGTTTTTATATTAGTGGCGCGTTCGTTCAACCAAATCGGAATCATCAATGAATAATCGATGGATTTTGTGCATATTGTAATGTTTTGTTTGATTGAACACACTTGCACCAGCCACAAAATAGTTCAATTTTATACAAAAGAAAAATACAAAATTGTAAAATACATTGAAATTTGACTACGTATATATTAAAAGAGAAAAAGAAAACAAAACAAGTAACAAATATTAATTCTGTGTGTGTGCTAAAGGGTTACAATATGATGATGCGATAAAAACAAAAGGGAAATACAACAGGCAAAACCACAGACGTAAACAGCGCATAGTTTAGTAGTCATATAACTAAATATATTATTATATACATCTATAAATATATACATACATATTATGTTTTACAATTAATAAATACAAAAACCTATTGTATGTATAAATTAAGTTTAAAATGAGAAAAAGCTAAAAAAAAAACACAACAAAACAAAACACAACAAAAAAATAAAACAAACTTAAAAAACTAAACAACTTTGCCGAAAATTAATCATTTTGGATGTTGAGAATGTGTAACGGTATCTCAGTTAATTAGCTAGTTAATTCATTAAATTGTATGTAGTTGAATTTACCAATTTTTTATTGCTATATTTTGTATTCATTTAATTATTAATATATTATTATTATCATTAACACATAAATAAAACCAAATGGACATTTGGACACAAATTATTTGCCCACTGTTAGCTGCCAAGAAATCGGACTTAACTTTTCATTCATATACTCTTTCAGTTCAAGTGAAAAGTCTTAAGTAGAATATAAAACATTGCTCTAGTTTTTACCATAGTTATAGACATTAACTTTATTATTGTTTCATTCATTATTATCAACATTTGCAATTACCTACTGTGACGGCTAATTTAATCATATGTGTCTATGTGATATCTTCCTTCTTTTCCTCATATACATATGTAATTTCATTTTTGTTTTAAATTAAATTCTATGAATTTTAAGTTTAATCACACCCCCGATGCGACGGCGTCTGCTACTTCATCAGCTCTGGCGTACTGTAAATATTCCTTTATGTCATAATCAAAAAGATCGAAGTCATATCTGTGAATGGGAGAATGAATTAAAATTGGGTTTGTGTCCGTTCAGTTAGTCATTTCTTACTGGTAATAATTGTATAGCTCTAGCATCTCTTGCTTGGTTAGCTGGGAATAGAACTGCTGTTGCAGCTCCTGTGTCTTTCTGCCTCCTTTGCCCATGTTGCGCCACACGGGGGCTATGACGCGCTGGAGGCCAGTCTTTTCAATTAGATATAGTTGATCCTCTGCCAGCGATTCAAATTTCAGTATCATATCAAAACGTATTAGGCATGGAGTACAAAATGAAGTCGCCGAAACGAAGTGCATGTCTATATAGTTGCCACGCTTGACCTGATCGATCAGCCAGTGCACAAACTCTGGAAACGTTGGATACTTTGTATTCCCTGCTCGTGAGATCAGCTTGGGCTGCAAGCAAGTAGAGAGTAGAGAGTTAAATTTGAATCAAATGTTGGTTATTCAATGATTCCTTCTGGTACCTTTTTGCGATAATTGCGTACTATGCTGCGACCAAGCTTGTCGTGAAAGGAATAGGGCAGTGCGAATACGATCTTATCTCGATAGGCGCTCAGCAGTCTCTCAAAGGGATTTCTGGCTATGATAAACGTAATTGAATTGTTTTGTGCCTCACGTAACTGCGAAGAGAATTTTCTGTGATCTAAAGATCTTAAGAATTAGTTCGACCTGACTCACCTCTTGCAGCGTCACTCGTGGATAACGCTCCCTGGCCAAATTGAGCAGAATCTTTTTGGTTTTTAGCAAATAGTTGGGCGTGTAGCCCGCCAGCACATTGAAGTTAAACATCCAGGAAGAGGAAGCCGCCTTAAAGACATTGCACCTGTGAAGGAGACACACGCACACATATTTACACTAGACAACATTTAGTAGAAGGCAGCGTGCCTTACCATATAATGTGATACTTTTTATTGACCAAAAATTCCCAAGTGTTGGGCGTGTGCCAGGTATCCTGACCTATAATTAAAATGAATATATATAGCGGATGGTTTCGTATGAATCGTAAACTGTTTTAGCCAAGCCTCCTCACCCAACACGTCCAGTCCGAATTCCGAGCACTTATCCTTCAGTCTATTGAGTCGCGCCTCCATGCGCTGCGGTCACACATACAGATAAAGCATATAGAACAGTTAAGTAATGCATATTAAGGTATGGCCATTGGCGTATGGCTAAAAGCACCTACCACGGACATTTCCTGCATCTCGTCCGCAGAAAGCGACTGTATCGCATAGTCGGGTATGAGTGAGAGGCCCGTTTCATTGTTGATCTGTTTGGAAATAGTTAGGAACATGTGAATAAATGAGGCTTTGATGAGGTGCTAGCAGCAAATACTTAATGACTATACCAACAAATACATCTTTTTTCGAGGGAAACCCGCGGTGGTAATATGCCCAGCCCAAAGAACTGCCAATCATTTATTCGTTTGGGCATGGCGAACAGATGAGGCTAAGGAATTTCAATGCTTCTTCTCTTTTATAATGCACCCATAAATTTAACGGTTGAGTTTTGTTGTGTTTACGTTGTCATTAACAGTGTGAGAGTGTATAGGTGTGTCTGTGTGTTAGAATATTTACTTTATCAACATAGCGCCACTTATTCTTAGTCGTGCCCGTTGCCACCACGGTTAGTTCCTTGTTTTTGTTTTTGTTCAGCAGCAGGACAGGATAACGAAATGTTTGACCCGCTGGCAGGATTTGCTGTGGCCGCTGTTGCTGCTGTTGCTGCTGCTGCTGCTGTGGCTGCTGTTGCCGCTGCTGTTGCTGCTGCAGCTGTTTCACAAAAGCCAAAAAAAAGCATTTGCATTTCACATTTACTATTTAAGTGAGAGTTACAGAGAAAACAGTTGGTTAAATGCAAACATGACGTGGCGTATGCGTAATATACAAGCGTTGTTTCATGATATCTCAGCAGAAAGCGGTCTTATATAAATGTATTAAAGCACTGCTCAAGGTGTCAGCGATACCAGTGATACCAGTGACACCAAAACAGATAGAGCACCACAGAGAGCACCACTGAGTCATGTCATATGGCATGCCAGTGTCAAGGTAGCCTCAACGAACCCAATTATTATGCCAGTGGGCAGCTCTGTCAACTGGCATCATTATAAATCTAGATGATTGCTTGGCGGATAGACAAATGCTCAGCAGGCATTGTGGCTTCTGTATTAATACCCTGTAGTCCAATTGTTGGGGCTGATATATGTATAAAGTAGGTACAGTATAAGCTGAACAGAGCTATGCGAACTTAGATAAATAATTAGGCAGCTACTTATTAAGAAATGGATTTCACAATTCCATGCAAGCTTTACATATAATTAATATTTTATATATATATTTTTTCAAATCATTTGTATTTTATTTGTCTCTTAAATTTCTTGTATCTACTTGGTACTACTCCAATATTTTTAATATAGTCTACTTTAAAGCGCAACTTAGATAAAACAATACATAGTTGGCTACGAGGTATCTCTGCGTACATCATAGCGGACGCTGGTGTTTTTATAGAATTTTTCGCAGCAGAAGTGGCGCTATGTGCATGACGTGAACTGTGGGAGGTTAATACGTATATATGGGAGATGTGATATGTGGGCGTGATGTGGGCAGCGTGTCACTTAAGCAGCAGTCGGTGCCTGCGTGTGTGTATGGGTGTATGTGTTTAGGTGAGTTTGGCGTGTTACGTGTTAGACGCTGTGCTTAATTATGCCAATGTAGAGCACAACACGGCGTATGCGTGTTTTATTTCATTTATTACTTGTTTTTTTGTTCATTTCTCTTTTTGGCTGGCTAAGCATTAAGTCACTTAAATTAGTGGCCAGCTCCCCATTGATTTGTGCTTGCTTTGGACCCAGCCATCGATTTTCTTGCGCCTCGGGCATGTCCTGACCAAGCGCCTGCTGCCAGCCAGGCCAATTAAATTGCCAGTCCAAGCGAAAGTTCTGCAATGCAAATGGCCCAAGGACGTTTTGCGAATTTGCTGTGGTATGAGGAGGACGCCTTTGTGTCTGGTGTGCGGCAAAGCAATAGCAGCTAAAAAGGGCGTTCAATAGTAGGCGTGTCGTTTCTACAGTTAAGTGCCAATTGTTAATTAGCAATGGGAAAAATGGCTTGTGGCTTATTGTTCATTAATTTGCACTTTTAAAGAGCTCCCCCTCTGTCTGACAGTCCCCACAGAGATCTGCTAAAGGTGCAACGAGGTGCTAAAAACTTAGACAAATAAACAAGCAAACATATTGAAATTTAAATATCAAGCAATTGAAAATTGCTCATCTGTAGCGAATATGTATTTATAATCATTGCTGTATCTAAAGCATTATAAATGTATCTTTTGAATGCCCTTCACATTGAGACGCTTCGCAGATGCTCTTCATACACCCACGTATATTTAGTTGTTGGAAATTTTAAATCTGTTGAATTATGAATAGCCAAAGAAGATAATTACAGGGTATACAAGTTTTCCTTTACTTGATTCAGCCTAAGGCAGTGCAGGACGTTTCCAGTAACGATCGATCGATTACCGACATTTTGCTTGTTGTCAGGGGCAGCCCACTGCAAACGTTTATACCACAAGCCGAATGCACAATATGTTTGCAGGGCACTTGGAAGTCAGCTAACAGGCAGCTACCAACTAGCAACAACTACAAAGATACATTTTTGTGTCCTTGGCCAAACACTCAAATAACATTTGTGATATGCTACATACATATATGCTGTATATACTATAAATACATATATATGTTTATATATTAGTAGGCTTACTCACCTCGTATCCCTTAATCTTCTGCAGCTGCTCGTTCCATACCAAGTAGATGAGCGATAGGGGCAGCAATAGCAGCGATAAGGCTGTAAATATGAGCAAATATCGCCGAACGCGACAATTTGCGTAGCTCTTGTTCAATTTCATTTAAACACAAGGCTAAATGCATAGGAACTGTTTGTAGTTTAGTTAGCCAATCGCTCGTTGTTAGTCTATGTTGTTCCGGACTCTTATATTTCTCGAAGTCACATTATTTTTGATATATTTTCCTTTGCTATTGATGTACATTTTTATGTTTTTAGTTTCTTTATTTTTGATTTTGTTTTCTATAATATTTTTACTTTCTAGCTGTCGCTGCTACGCGACAAATATTTTTGCGTGCAGTTGGCGACAATTTTTGTACAATTTGTTCATAGCCTTTTTATGTCTGCTCGATGATGTTGTTGCTCTAGCTAAATTTAGTTGTTGTGCTGTAGTATATATTGAATAAAGATGTAGATGTATAGTTAGTACGCAAATGTAACATGTTCAGCATAATTGATGACAAATATATATATACATATTTATATATATATATATATGTATATATATATATATATATTTATATAGATATATATTTAAACTACTGCTGTGCGAAAAACTTTGGCCGTATTTATAGCTAAGCAAGCAGTAAAAATTGTGTCACTGCAGCAGCAACAAATACGAATAACTGAATTTTCGGTGGGCTCCTTTTTCGGGGGTGTCTTTTAGGGCTCTTTTCCCCATGTGGCAAGCCACTGTCGCTGCTGCTGCATGGAGTCAAGATGTCAATTATTGATTTTTACGACTTTACTCGTAAGGGGAGTGGGAGTTTTTTTGTTATTTGGCCCTGCCAGGTGCAATGCCAATGCCTAACCTCGAGTTGCTTTCCAGGTAATTTTTAATTTACTCATGAATCCATATGCAAAGAACCATTAACAAATATGCAATATCATTTAATTGGCGCGCTGTTTGCGCATTTTTTGCCAACTTTTTAGGCAATGCTCCAAGTTTGGTTTGGCATTTATATAAAATTCATTCAAATTGGCGCACGACACTCACACACACGCAGACGTCTAGAATACACAAGCCACACACACACACACAAACACACACACATACACACACACATGCAAACAATCAGAAGCACGCAAACAAAACAAATGTGGGCGCACGCGGCACATACGTAACACTATCAATTGCTGGCATGCCCCGCTCGACTTTCGCTACTATTTATTGTTGTTGTTGTTTTTGTTGTGATTCGATTGTTTGCCAATTGAAAGACGCTCAATCAATATTAATTGAAGCAGCAACTGTGATTTTATATACGCCAAATGCTAAAAGTGTATTTTTAAACTAAACACGGCTAAGCACTCGCAATTGGTAGGCGTGCGAAACTGTTGCGGTCTGTCAGAGGGGCGGGTAGGGAGAGCAGATGGGTTTTGGATTCGCGGAAGAGTCAGCAAACATAATACACAGAACACAGAGCACGGAGCACAGAGCACACAAGCAACGCACCGTTCCGAGCAACGCACATTTCACGAATGAATTCAAATGCGAAATGAGCACAGGCTGCTACGGCTACTGTCTATTGCTCCCGCACCCCCCTCACCCAGACACTAGCTCAGTCGCTCAATCGGTTCTCTCCCAACAGCTCGGACTATCCGACTGTCAGTTTCAGTTTCAAATTTTTGTGGCAGCTCTTGTTGCCGCCGTTCTTTGTTTGAGAGCGTTCAAGCTGCTCGCGGAGAGGGGTGCTGCTGACTGTGTGCTTTTGATTTGTTTATCGGCGAGCGAGGAGCTCACTCAGTTTTTTATGATGCCACAGGCCAAACATTTTTGTTTATGGCTGAGCAAAAGGCAAGGCCGGCAAGAGAAGCACACGGAAATCGAAATGCGCAGTGAGAACTCGCAAGCGCATAGAGAGCGGGGGTTGCTCTGACAGCAGTGGGTAGTTTATAAAGTTAGTTACCGTTAGTTTATATAAAAATATTTATTCATATATTTGCACTTAATTTGTTCTGTTTTAACAACCATTTCGTTTAAGTATTCTCATTGCAGATTTTATAAAACATTTATAAAAATTTGAGGTAAAATGTATTCCATCTAAATGCATTTATGGAATGTCTATGTCTTGTTTAGTACTGTATCAGGGAATGCACCTCGCAGTCCAACCTCTTGCGGCCATCGAGTCCGAGCAGCTCAATAACCACCAAGCTTTCCAGCACCACGCCGTCGAGCTTGCGAACCAAAGCGCTGGCCGCCAACAGCGAGCCACCAGTAGCCAGAAGATCATCCACAATAACCACCTTTTGACCAGGCTTGATAGCTGTGCGCTGCAGCTCAAATGTATCCTATTGAGAGAGTATTATTATAGTAGATATCTAGTGAAGGCTTTTACGCTGCTTACAGAGCCATATTCCAGCTTATATTCTACGGAGACCACATCGCCCGCCAGCTTGCCCTTCTTGCGTATGGGCGCGCAGCCCACGCCCAGTTCAGTTGCCAGCAGCAGATTGAACAAAAAACCACGCGAATCCAGACCCACAATGAGCTCTACATCTGGATGCGTGGTGCGTATATGCTCAACCAGCAAGTCCCGCAGATAAACACACGCTTTGCCATCGGTTAGGGCGCCGAATATGTCACTGTGAGGCAATGAGAGATAAGACATCGAAACACATGTTAATCAATGATAAGTATTCAAATATTGCCAATGAAATATACACATGTAATTCCACAAAAATTTATTGTAGTTATAAATCTAACTGACCCACCGGAAAACGATGCCTTTTTTGGGAAAATCCAGATATTCGCCAATCTTTGATTTTACATAATTCAATTTATCTGCTCTGCTTACTTCGCTCATGTTTTTTTAAGTTGTATCACTAAATTCTCAATAAATGCGAAAAAAATTGAATTTTTACAAATTGTTTAAGCAATTTACAGCTACGTGAATACCAATCGGTTTCTTTCCCACTGACACTGAAAGGTCGTGTGGCAAATTGATAAACCAGCTGCTTATCAGCTGTGCAAGGTGGTTGCTAGTGATGGGCAGAACCCAGGGCTGCACAAGCGATTAAATTTATACAAGGCGGGATAATTTGAATGATTTAAGAATAATGATAAATTTGGCTTAATGTGATGCAGTAATTATTATTATAAATAATATTTACAATGAAAAGCCAAAAATGCCTTAAAATATAGACATTTTTATCGAATTGTTTGTAAGAGAAATGTTTTTAAGAATTTTATTGGTTTAAAACTGTATGAAACTATTTAAAATGAATTGTTTTAATATAGGATTTATTATCATTTGATATTTCTGTTCTTCTCAACATTTCCTCCACTCAATTTATATTTTTCCCATTCACATGCCTTCCACAAATCACAGCAAATACTTCGAATTCATTCAGTTGTCAATTATTTATCCAGGCATTACCTTAACAAAGAAAGGAAATAAAAGAAATGTGCAGACATTCCCCGAACATCCTGCAGGTAGAGAAGCCATAATATGCCGTAAATTCTGTGGTATTTTGTTTCTCTCTCTCTCTCTACAGTCTCTACACGCAGAAATGTGATAATTGGAGAAATTTCAATAATTCTTCCAAGAAACGAACACAAGCACTTTTAGTACTTTGATAGCTGCACATTTATCAGTAGTAAAAACAAAAATAATTGAAAAGAAATTTAAACAATTTACATTCCACTTATCTGAGGCGCGCCAACTGTCACAATAATGCACTCCCTCTCTCTCTCTCTCACACTCTTTCTCTCTTTGTGTATGACTCTCGCCAGCCGTATCACTCGCGCGAACTCTCCCTGTAGCAGGTAAGCCGTGGCGAGAGCGCGTGTGTCGTGTCTTCAGAGGTGATTGTCTCCCAATGCCAAGCGGATCTCAAGACTCGAGCACCACAGTTCGAGTCTCAGCGCCAAACGCGACGGTTCACAGCGGAATATCGTGATCGAATTTGTTCGTTCGTCCGTTTGGAGTAACGTTTCCTCTATGCTTTTCGCGACTTTAAATTTATGCACAAAAGCAACAATACAATTTAATAACGTTAAACAAAACAAGAAATAATCAACCGGTTCTGCAAGCTGAAACTTCACAGCAAAGAAACAACAACAAAATAGAATTGTAAGCCACACACGAAAATAAAAAGTTATTCGAGTTTTTTTAATTTAAGTGCAAATGTCAATTGAAGGCGACGGCAAAGCTGAAAACTTTGCGCAGTTTCCTCGCAATTTCTGCTGCTTTTGCAGGTTTGACATTAAAACAAACCGCAAAAAGCCAACAGCAAAAACAAAGTTCATGCAACATTAAAACGTGAAAACCTACAAGAAACAACAACAGCAACAGCAACAACAACAGAAATTGAAACAATATTGCAAGCAACATTCACATTCACATTCACACACATTCACACACACATGCACACATACGCACACACATAGAACACCTTTTGGTGACCATGTTGCTCTGAAGACGTGCGTTTCAAAAACTGCAACTACAAAAACAACAGCAGCAGCAGCAACAACAACTACATCTGAAACTGCAACAACTGCAGCCAGAACAACAACAACAAGAGGCACAGCAAAAACCGCGCTGGCAACGTGAAAAACCAGAAAAGAGGCACAATTTTTTTTTTGTTTTCGTTCGAAATGTGCCTCTGCAATGCAACTGTGGCGGCTGCCATAATAGGCGCCCTAAATGCGCCCAATATGGGGCGCTTAATGTTGCAAAGCTGTAAAGATATAGAGTTAAGAATTGGACTCTATAAAACTAGAGACATTACATGGGATTTTGTAGAACATCTTACAAGCAGGGCATAGCGTCCAGACAGGGACAGCCTTAGCAACACTGCCTTGTTTTCCGTTTACAAATAGCATAGTTGTGGCTGTATAACACAGAGCAAGAGCTCGAGCTGATTAGAATGAGTTGATGATATACATTTACCAGAAAGCGTTACTAAAATTATGAATTGCTAGAGCAGGCTGAGGTAGCTTAAGAGTGGGCTAAGCTTTTAAGCTACCTCAAGCAGCTCTAGTAACTGTTGCGTATTTAGGGAACTATTCAAGATCTCTCTTTATCCATTATTCACTCACTCATCTCAATACGTATTAGAGATCAGAAATTCTTTAAGATTTTTACCTGCACTGCAGTGGCCCAAAAGCCCGTTTATTTAGCAATCCGCACCTGTTAAAGGTACAAAAAAAAAGAAAAATAACTGAAGAATCTCGGTGTGAGTTACTATTATGTATATACATATGTATGTTTGTCTGGGGCCCACATAGTTGTAGTTGTTTTAGTTGTTTTAGCAGTAGTTTTTGTTGTTGTTGTCGTTGGTTATTTGCTAGCTCGCTGGGCCGTAGGAATGCGCGAATGTTTGCCAACATTAAAAATCGTGATCTAATAAAAATAAGCAAACAGCGACACATTCGCCCAAGAGCGAGACAGGCAGCGGCAGAGTCAAGGAGAGAGCGAGAGAGAGGGATATAGAGACTCTACTGCGAAGACTGCCCACATCTTCTGGCCATAGAAGCTGTTGACTGGGCTTGATTGGAACCTAAACGCTGTTGAATAACTGACCGCGATATTTTTGCACGGTTGCGGGTTCCGTTGCGAAAAAAGAAATCGTTTGCCATAAGCATATGCAAAGGCCGATCGAAAGGGGAGAAATGAGCCAGAAAGCAGAAGAAGAAGAAAAGAAACAAATACATAAAAACATTCTACAACTTGTATACGCCCTGGCAAAAAAAAAGCAGAAATAAAACAGCTTTTAAAGACATTTCCGCATAATTCTGTAGCGTTTCATGTTGTGCTGCGGCTCAGTCTTTCGGAACAAGTTTGGCGCTTCCAGCTAACAACAACAACAACTTTGTGTAGTAACTATTCGATGTGTTAATCAAGTGACCGTCAGCCCCTTGGAACAAGCGTCTCAACTTGTAAAAGGTTCCGCTTAGCTGCTCAGCCCGAAAAAGTAAACTCAAATCAGATGAAATAAACTGAAACACAAACGAGCGTTAATAAACAAGCCACTGGAGCTGGCAATGCGGAACAACGCACACGAGCTGTGCTCTGAAGATGCAACTTGGGTGCGTTAAAGCCGCATTAGCTGGGAAAAGCTGTGAAAAGCCGAGAAAAGCTGAAGTGCTGCAGCGCTAAAGAGCTAAAAATTGTGAAAATGAATTAGCAGCGGGTGCCATCAAAGTCAAGAGCCAAGCGCTGGCTATGACCCCTCCTCCCTACGGCCCCCTGGCAGCCCCGCCTCTTTTCCGGTTGTTTATGCCTAATGTGAAATTTATGTTTGCGGCTCTTTCAAAGTAGAAAGTAAATTTGAACTGACCAAAGTGCCTGCCACATGTGGCACGAGTAGAAAGCTAAGCTGCCGCCGAATGCTGCCGTTGCACTTAGCGCGTTCTTCTGCCCATGTTTGTCAAATTGTTGCAAGACTCATTGTTTTATGCCACGTTTTGTTCAACAAGTGCGCTTCAGCCATTACCCAACTGACCTTATTTTATGCTATATGCAATGCTCAGCACTCGCACACAAACTCACACACCGCTATAGCTGCTGCTTAGTTTGGCATTTAGGTATTTGGCTTGCGCGCGTTTTAAGCGCGTTTTCTGCCGCGCCATGAATGCAGCAGACTCGAGCAACAGCGTTCGACGAGTCGGACTGTTGTTATTGATGTTAAAACTCCAAGCTGATTTCTGATTTCTGTGCATATATGTAGCTGCCAAGTGAAACTTTTGTATGGTCAACTGCCCGCCGGCCGGCAGCAGCAGCAGCTACAGCAACAGCAACAGCAACAGCAACAGCAGCAGCAACACATCAACACATCAGCAGCATCAACATCTCAGCTTCATTGGGCGAACGGATGTAGATACGGCATCTCGGCAAGTTACTTGCCATCTCCCCAGCTCTTCAGCTTGGCCTTTCATGCTGCGTCATGGCTGTACCACAATACCAGTTACAGTACTCACTCGTCCCGCTGCCTGGTCACTTTCTTTTCTTTCTTTCATGATCGATGCGAGTGCGCAAAGAATGCATTGAAGCACACACATATACAACAAATGCACTGTGCAAAAAGCTGTGTACACTTTGAAATGGGAGAAGGCAATATAAAGAGTAAAATGAACTTCTAGCTAAAATCTGGCGTATATATTCTTAAAACTTTACACAGAGAATTCTTGCTAATTTTTATATTTAACACTTACTATAAATTCTCATACACATAAAGAAAAATGAGTATTATTTTATAAGATTTTTTATGGCCAGCTATTTGGCACTTATAACCAGCTTCAGCTGACACGTTGCCCTTCTCTTCAACACGAATTGGCCAACTTTTTCTCACAGTGTGCGCGTATTGGGTGGCTTGTCGAGTCGAGATTTGATTGCCAACTGAAATTTGCAATTACAGCACCGAGTCACTGTGGCTCGCAGAGAGTCAGACATATATATATATATATATATATGCATATTCACGTTCAGTTTTCATTTAAAGTGCGCGTTGATCGTTCGCAGGAAATTATTATATGTCTGCGGTTAGTCTGAGTCGAGACGCGTTGGCCCACTCCTCTGGCGATTGACGGAGACTCGTTTTCCCAGACTTTTCAGGCGCTACGTGAGTCAGGCTTCAGATCAGTTTTCCCATTGTTATTGAAAGCGTTTCGGCCAATCGCTCGATTTGGCCAGACGCCTTTGTTAACTCACGTGCTACGACTCTCAATGGACTGTTAAGCGCTTGGCTATAATATTTATGTTAATGGGTTGGGCCGAGACTCGAGAGGTTCTTGCAGCTGGCAAGCCTTGGCTCGCTCCTCTACTTATTAGCATTATTATGGTAATTGCATGGACTTGGACGCGTTTTCTTTTCTTTGTGCTTCTTTCTAGCTTAATTGAGTGTCATTTACTTTTTCTCTTTTATTGTTTGCTTTTCATTTAGTTGAATCAACGAAATTTTTGGGGTCTTAAGCTTACGAAAAACATAGCGAGTTACACTTTTTCTTTTGTGCTGCTTCCGTAAAAGAGTAAAAAATAAACTTAAAGACAAAAGATAAAAAAAGCATAAAAACATAATAAATTACGCATACGCAATGTTGTCGGTGGGATCTTTCGGGTTCGTGTCGAGACAATGCACTGAATATTCACTTGCATTTTTTTCATGCTTTTGTTTTTTCGGGTTTTTTTTTGGAACTTGGAATGTTTGTTTTTGTGAAGTGGCTTCAAGATGAATTGAGCAGAAATTTACCACACTTTCAAAATGGAAAACATGTTTATTGATAGGCAGCTCAAAGCCAGTTGCTCAGCTCAGTTTTGGCCATTTGCAACTTTTTGCGCCATGAATCACAGCTAAAATTAGATAGAGTCAAAATTGGTTAAGTGTTCCTCGCTCGCTCTCTCACTCTCAGACTCTCAGACTCTCCCACTCTCTCTTTCTGTCTCTGCGGCTCGTTAAGCTATTAGCTTAACTCTCTGCTTTTTGCATAACGTCTTTTGATCTGTCTTTTGACATATGATTTGTTTCGCATTCGACAGGTTTAGCTTCATAGAATTAGCTGTTGGGGAAAATTAAGCAATAGCTTGCCCCCAAAAAACAATTAACTCTTGTATTTACATAAGCCCAAAACGATTTGCATATTGGATTTCGTTTTTTTAATTGGCGAAATATTTCGCTTTGATCGAAGTGAAGGGGAAAACGTTGTTTGATATGGAAAATGTTGGAAAAGGCATTTCAAATTAAATTTCACATGGCTTAATCTTCGGCAATTTCTTTTTGGACCAGCTAATTTCAAGCTCCAATTCATTTATTTAAGTCCGCCTCTAAGGAACGAACGAGGTCAGCAAACTAAAAGCTGGCCAAATTAATAGGCTCACAACTCTACAACTTAACACAAAAGCAAATACATGACAAACAAAAATGAGCAACTATTGTTGATTGCTGGCAATTGTTGTTGTTGTTGTTGTTGTTGTTATTGTTGTTGTTATTGTTAATAACTTTTTACTCATGTTAAAGCGTGCTTAACATTTTTTAACAGCCAACAATAAACAGAGTCAGGCGAAGAAAGACAGAAACCTCACGCAATGGGCACCAAAATCGAGTACGTCGATACGACGCATCTGTACGCTTCCAAATACATTCGCAACTCGAAGGCAATTGGCGTGCTCTGGGCCATCTTTACCATCTGCTATGCCATCATTGGCATTGTGGCCTTTGTGACGCCAGGTGAGTGGCCATTGATCATCTCCATAGATATGTATCATATATATGTTTTAATTGCAGAGTGGATTGGCGATCCGGATAGCGACAGTGCCGGCCGTCTGGGCCTCTGGCAGCAATGCCAGCGAGACGAGATCTTCGACAATTGCCGTCGTCGCTGGGAGAACATATTTGCAGTGCCCACGTTTTCATTTCAGGTGCGTATTTGTATTTGTTTGGGCTAAGTAAACGAGAAGACATAGCTGAGGTAGCTGAAAGACTAAATACAGCTCTCTATAGTTCTGTATACTCATTTATTCTGTCAACCCCGATTCAGATTAATGTTAGAAAATATATAATATCAAATTTATACACATGCATATAATATACTGCACCGAACTGTCTGTCTTTGACAGGCAGATAATTCTGATTAGGCAGACTTGGTTTTTGATGCCTATCAAGGCTAGACTTTACTAAAGAATTCTTAACCCATTTCTTCGTAAAAACCTTTGACTTGATTTGCTTCTTTCATTGCTTACAGTTGGCGACATTCTTTATGATCGCGGCCGTTGGGCTGGCCTTGCTGACGATATTCTTTTTGGTTTGTTTGCTGTTCATGAAGTCGACGCGCGTCTTTCACATTTGCGGCTGGATGCAAATAATATCAGGTGTGTATACAAGTGTGTGTGTGTGCATGTGTGTGTGCTGGGCCCAATTCTCAATTGAGAGCTTCCAGTTTCAATTGCTGACTTCAACGGAAGTCAGTTTGTCAAACGATATCGCAATTGCAGCACATACTTTGAGCACGTTTCGATGTATGCTGTTGCTGCCGTTGCAAAGTAATGTAATCTCATTGCGAAATGCGCCTCAATTTAGAATTGCTGAATTCTTGTACTTCGATCAGCATTTGTCACGTAGTTTAATATCAATTGACTTTGGCTTTATCGCTCTTAGCGCTCTGCATGATTGTGGCCTGCGCTGCGTTTCCCTTTGGCTGGAATTCAGATGATTTTCGCAAGATTTGCGGCCCGGAGGCAAATCGTTTCGAGTTGGGCCTCTGCAGCATACGCTGGGCCTACCCGTTGGCTATCATTGGCTGTGTGGACGGCGTTGTTCTGGCCACATTGGCATTCATTTTGGCCACGCGTCATGTGCGCCTGCAGCCGGATCCCATCTATCAGAACTCTCTGTACAAAGGTGAGCCCAAAATCCCTTTAATATTTGCTATTATTATATTAAAGGTTCGTTTCTTACAGGAGAAATTAATAATGCGTATCTGACGGATGCCATTAGCTTGGCGGGCTCTCGCAAGTCGAATCCGCACATCACGGGCCTCAATTTACAGCCCATTTTGCTGGTGGCGCCGCCCAATGAGGACAGCATCTCACAGTTTTCCCGTTATCACTGAGAGCTGCTCAGTTTTCTTGCCGCCGCAAATTCAAACTCTTAACGGACAGTCTCTCGAATAGGTTGTTGAAATGGAAATGTTAAAAATAACCGGTTAGCATGTGCACAAACCTCAACGCGGTACCTGTAACAAGCTAAGCTGTATGAAACTATAACCGTTTTGCACTGCTTGCTTTTAGCAAGGAAACAAACCTAAAGATAGAATCTTCGCCAAGTGTGCACATGCCAAGCTAAGCAGTGTGACTAACACTGCTTATACTTAGCAGATATACAAACCAATAGCTGGGCATTTCGTTAAGATTTGAATTTGCTTTTTGGCTGTTACAATTTAATATTATATCTTGGTAATGTAATGCGTGAACCGTACGTGCGTGTGTATCTGTGTGTGAGACTGACCGACTGAATGCTTAGCCTCAACTTAAGTTTAATTTAAATGTATTTGTGTATAGCTTGTGTCTAACTTGATACGTTTACTCTATAGATTATGATCGCTGCCTGTAAATTATATGCCCGTAAATATAAATATAATGTACAAAAATATATATTGAACATAAAATGATTGCATTTGGCCTATTCGTATTCAACCGCAATCACAGCCTCAATTATGCCATCATCATCAAGCCATAAACATCAAGAACACAAAGGAGAAGGCGAAGTCGAAGAAGAAGAAGAAGGTCAGCAACTTTTCTGCGCATTTGGACAAACAAATATCAAATTATGCTCCATGTAATGCTCCCTCTGCTCTCCCCACTCAACAAGCTGGCGACGCACATAAAAACCAATAACGGCCAACTTAGCGCCCAATTTGTTTGTATGCCACGCCCCCCGCTCATCACCCATCGCAAATCGCCCATCGGCCTCATCGTCCAATAACCATTTGGCACATACTTTTCCAATAAAGTATTTACAGCAAACTTTTTGCCTGCTGGCAATTGAAATATTCCGCGCAAAGATGAAATCAAATAGAGCCAAAATGCGATTATAGCACGCGGGCATAGCTGACTGTGCAATACTCTGTCTACTCTAGTGACATGGGCGCGGCTTCCTTCAGAGATGCTTCAACTGCATTTCACTTAGCTAGCTCCTAGGTAAGCGTACCCAATGTATCTCAACACCTAGTCTTCCAAGTCCTGAACTGATGTACCTCACTCTCGCCTCCGTACAGAGTATAATGAAAGAAAAAGCGCAGCTCTCGGTGCCTGATGTTTCTGTTGTAGCTGCCAGCCTGGGCACGTTTTAATATTCTTGTATAATTCATAAGCAATTCCATCAACGCTCTCCAAATGCGGCCTAAGTGGCCAAGCAGCTGGCGCCAAATGCTCAGCTCAGCTCTGCCTCCCCGCCCAGTCGCTGTGTCATTTCCCTGTTCGCTGGCATTTTATTTACTTCAGCCATTTCTTTTCTACCCTAGCTGCCCCCTTCCTGGCGGCAACACATGGCTCCACGTTTTTGGGCCATTTCGACACGCAGTGGATACGTGGCCAAAGCTTCGATGAAGATCTCGACGGGACTCGCTTTGGATTTTTGATGTGCCAATTGTTTTTATTCGATTTGATGTGCGGCGTCATAAATGAGTTTTTAACTTTTGGCTGTTGTCCTTGAGGTGTGGGCGTAAATGTGACTGCGACTGTGACTGTGGGCGTGGCAGCTGGGGCAACTGTGGCAACATGTGCCATCGCTTATTAGCTGAGCACTTGGACACAATTTTATGCGTTTCGAAGTGCTTGTGAAAATGTGCCAAGCAGCGCAGCAAATGAACAACAGCAACACAACACACTCACTCTCTACACCCACACACACACGTCCACAGTTGGAGCAACTTTTTCATTGCTCTTGTGTAATTACAAGAAAAACTGGACATCATTTGACCTTTGGCATTCTATTTAAGCCAACATGCCACGCCCACAGCGCGCCTACATACACTTTTCTGTTACAATACGCCGAGCAGCAGCAGCAACAGCAGCAAAGTCAAAGGGTCGTTGGGCGGGGCTAAATGAATTGCGCCTTTAAGGTTTTCGTTTAAGTGAAATGTCAGTTGCAGAAATTGAATCGAAAATTGTAAAATTGGTTTTGTATAAACATTTTTGCCAAATGAAATGAAATGAAAATGCTTTTGTTATAGCTACCCGAAAAGCAGTTGCTGATGCCAGCGACCCTCTGGCCGTCTTCCTGCTCCTCTTGGCCCTGGCTGCCAGCCAAGTTCTTTCAGCTTTCTTTCTTCACTTTTGAGCACTGAAAACATCATATTTCTTGTGCCTGTTTTTTATTTCTTGTGCAAAACAAAGGGCAGTGCAGCGCCTGCTACCCTTGCCTCTCTACGCCCCCTTTCCTCTGGCACACACATAATTTATGGCACATACGAGCCATGTGTGTGTGTGTGTGTATAGCTTGCAGAATTGTGCAAAAGTCAAAACTGCGTCAATCAAAAGCTACAGCAGAACTAGCAAAAGGCTGCTTACTGAGGCATATACGACTAGCAGTTGCTCTGCAGTGCTCTAGCAGCCTAGCTTTATGATTAGTTAGTTATGCTTTAAGCCACATTTCAAGTACCCTCTTCATGTCAGTTGCTACTATAAAATTGCCAAAAAGTACATTTGCCCTCGTCTCACATCAAATCATATTATTTTCTCAAATATCTTTAAGTTATCTCTTACCTTTGCTCAGCTTAAATGTTTTAAGATATAATTATTATTCTTAAATTAAATAAAAATAGATTATTCGTTGATCTATTTATCTGATTACCTTCAATCTCACTTCTCAGTTCAGTCATGACCGAGAACTGAGGCATTGTTCTAGAATATTGTTTTAGTAAATTTACCAATATTTTAATTCAGGTTTTCATTCGAACTTTAGTTCCTTATATTCACTTGAGACTGATTCACTGAAAGCATTTGATTTTTTTTTCAGTTCAGCTCCTCCTGCTTCCATTAATAGCAAGCAAAATTTAGTATTCAACCAGTTCTATATTAACTCAATTTCACTATTAGACAATCTGCCAAGCCTTGCTAACAATTTTGGCTCAAAGGCTCGAAATCAGATTTCAGCTCCTGCCTTGCTTCCACTTGAAGCGTGCATGCTCTCGCCTACCATTGGCACTGGGTATCCTCAAGGGATTGCCTTGCTCTTGCAGTTACCCCTAAATTACGTCTGGCATTTTATGCTTTATGTAGTTGCTTACCATTCGAGCGCTGTCTGTGATTTATCAGCTCTGGAAATAGCTTCGCCAGCAACAATATTCGGAATGCCAGATAAAAAACGTTGTACATTTTATTGCATATACAAAAAATCGTATAAATTGTGCGTAACAACCGCTGCCTAATGCTCTTAATATTAGTTAAATGTAAATTAGAGTTAGGAATTTAATTTAGCCGAGCTAACTAACTTAGTAGAACTAGAAACGAGCTTGCATTTTTCACATTGTAAAAATGACTAGTGAATTATATCCGTCGCTTTAACAAGTTGCGAATTAGAACTATATACAGGTCTATCCAGACATATATATATATATATATACATATATATATACAAATAGATATGTACGTATGTGTATAACTAGCAAACCCGATTTGGCATTTGGTTGCAAGAAAATGAATTGTGAAATTGTGGCTCAGATGTGCAAATGAAGTGAATCGACTAAAGAATACCCTGTAACAACGAAACCGTTCTGTTTGCTTAGCCATTTGGCAGCTGTTTATGCCACGATTTCGGCCGGAATGTGACTAATGCTAATAAACAGACAGACACACACTCGAACACACACACTCGCACACTCATACACTTACAGAGATGCACACATTAATTATAGCTAAGCTTCCTGATTGCCCGCCGCACAATCAATTATCGGCTGGACATCGTCCCTGTCTCGCTCCGGATCGAGGCAGGCGGTCATGGCATGCGGCATATGGGTGCGCAGCAGCGCGTAGCTGTCCCGCTGATGGAGCAGCAGCTTGTGCTGCTGATGGGCAATGAAGCTGCTGCCGCGTCGCAGCGAGCGTCTGCCCATCTCGAGTATCTCGAGCGAGGGATCGCGTGCGAACACAAAGTTCTGATAGGCACGCACAAAGCTGAAAATGACAGCCGAGGCGCCGCCCACGATCATCAGATAGGAGCCAATGGGCACCGCGTGCGGTGCTATGACCGTGGCCAGGTACAGCCAGCCCTTGATAGCGGGCGTCAGCTCCGAGATGCCCTGCAAATAGATGAGCATCACAGATGATGTCGACTCAGAGTTTATGGAGCAACTAATTAACTCACCTCCTCCAGCCACATGACGGGGAACATGAAGTCACGAAAATCACGCACTGGATGCACGTCCGGGGCGCGCGTCACCTTCAGATTGAGCTGTATGCGCACCTTGCCCTCCAGCGGCACTCCAAGTTTCTAAACAGACATTAGAGTCAGCCAACAGTTCATCTAGAATAAAGGTTCAGAGATCTCTTACCGGTTGTATTTTGAAGTAGGTTTCGTGCTTTTCGCGCTGCGGCTCGAGACCTTCGACTGCGTCAAGCAGCTGCGGATCTGATTCGTAGAAGTGCGGATTGGATATGTAGACGGGCGCGCCATACTGACATGGACTGATGTTCTGCAGGCCCCTCACGGCTTCATAGTCATTCGTGTCGTAGCATTTATTTTCGGGATTGTTCCTCGAATCGCCGTACGAGTTGTTGGGCAGCCGGTAGAGATCTGCGGCCAGGCCGTCCTTCTCCACACGCTCCACATACTTGAGCGGAATAATGCGGCACAGATCCTTGTCGTAGATGTGCACCACATCCGATTTGGTTATGTCCCGCGGCGGAAAGAACGAGCCCTCCGAGCCGGCTATGCTCGTGCAGGGCTCCTCGTTCCAGTGCGGCAGATGATCCATGCCATTCAGCGAGTCAATGTAGCCAAACTGCTCCATGCCCTGATAGCCCGTCTTAATGCTGGACACCTCGGTCAGTGTGCCATTCCGTCCCAGCAGCAGGCCCATTTTCTCCATGGGCCGCATGTGCTTCGGGTAGAACTTATGCGCCAGACTGACCAGCGCGTCATCATACCCAAACACCAGCTGATCCGCAGTCACATTGATGAAGGGCTTCAGCTTGGCAGCCGTCAGCACTATGGATATCGTCTTGGACAGCAGATAGCCCAGCTTGGGGCTCAGGCTTGTGAGGGTCTGCATTAGAGAAGACTGTGAATGAAGTGCTTAGAGGCATCGCACCGTCCACTTACCAGCATGGGTATGTTGGGCGTAACTATGGGCGTATTCTTATCGACACTCAGTTCAGGAACAAATTGTAAGATTTTCTTATGCTGATATGACACCGTGTAGTTGTTCTCGTGGAACTTGACGTTCACCTTCTCCATGTCTTCCCTGCAAAGACAACAGCAATGAAGATTGTTACACACTGTAAGTCGTATCTTGCAACGCGCGGGCACGTGCCAAGTTTAAAGTCAGGGACGTTGCTCATAAAAAACGAAATCAAAACCCAAAAAGTGTTCCACAACGGCCAGCGGACCAACCCAACTGAATGTCAAGTTCATTTGACGCGTTCGTCGGTGAAATGTGGCCAAAGAAACGTAACAAGAATACAAAAAAAAAAAATAAAAAAGACAACAACAACAACAAAAAGCAATATAAGATGACAAACGCTTTGGCGTTTTTGTGGCGTTTTTGTGGCGGTTTCAGCAGCTACCGAAACGGCTTTGTCATTTGATGTTGATTTAAAGTGTTTGCTTCGTTTATTGTTGCAGTTGTTGTTGCCGCTGTTGTTGCTGTCTTTAACTAATCCATCAAATCATCATAAAATTGTGGTCGCAGCTTAATTGCATTTTAATTCAAGCAGTCGACAATTAATTGCAGTGATTAATATCTATATTCGAGTGTCTGTGTAGCTCCCCATCTGTTAATTTATATCTGTCTTAGTGTTTCTTGATCTGCATATGTCTAACAGTGTCTGAATCTCTATGTCTCTGTATCGCTCCATCTATATAGCTGATTTCACATCCTTGCTTCTACATACATGAGTTGATATTCATATCTATTCTATCTATCTGTGAAGCTGCAACTCCATCTGCACATGTGTCTGTATCCACTTGTTCATATATTAATCTGTATATTGTATATCTGTCTGCTAAATATCTGTTTATATTTATCGGTATCTGTATCTTTCTACGTACTTGTATCTGTATCTCTAATTATAGCTGTAGTTATGTATCTATATATTCCTAAATGATACTCTACTTATCACAGAATATATAGATGTATTCCAGGGAGTAAATTATATAGTTATCGGTTCAATGTAACTGTTTAACTGTATCTATGTCTGTGTACCTCTTTCTGTATCAGCATTTAATTGTCTATAGCTGTGTATCTGTATATTTATCTGTGCTTGTTTATCTAGTTCTGTTAGATAATATATATCTGTAAGTGCATCTATGTATTGTGTATCTGCATCTGCATCTAGAAATGTATATAATTTTACTGTATCTGCATTTATATCTTTCTCTTCATATATATATACAGCTAATGAAATATGTATGCACACATATATATGAATGTATAACTCATTGAAACTTTAGCACACTTTAACTTTATTATAGTGCTTTAGTTTAGTATATGTATTTGTTTCAGACTAATCGGCGATCGCCTGATCTTGTCCCGTTATCCTTCACTTGAACTGGTTTAATGTCTGGGCGGTCCCGCAGCTTGTCAAACATAACAAATTCTCAGATACACCTGCTACGCCAGCGCGCTCTCATTTGTGATGCCTGATGTTTGGTGCTTTGTTATTTTGTGTTCGCTTTGATGTCTCTATTAATGCAGGCGGCGCAGCAGCTCAATGGCTCGGCGTTTAGGCGTGAATTGGCAAATCGGCTCCAATGGCTGCTGCAGTTGCAGCGGCAAATGCAACTGTTGCAAGCTTCCATATGCACAAAATAATTGCAGTTTATAAAGTGTTAAAATTGAAAAGTTATCAAATTGTTGCAATTTATTTTGCATTGTTGTGAATTCGATTCAGATTGAAAGACTTATGTGAGCTAATCAACTAAAGACATAATCTGAAATTTCAATTAATGCCCTGGCGCTGTGGCTGGACAACATAAGTACTTGCAATTTATTTAATTATTTTTAATCTCGCTCACTGGCCACAGAGTTCACGAGTTGTCTATAAAAAGCGAAATTAACATTTGCCTGCAAACTTAGCTTGATTTTCTTTGTTTGAGAACGATTTCTGTATGCAGTGCGAACGAGCATTTCGGGTTCTATTATGATAATTAGGCATATTAAACTCAATTTCAAAAGTATATACTGTACATATTGGCTAAACGAGCCGTGACCAAAGAACACTTAGCTAAAGCTGCCATGAAATCACTTATGAATGGAATGAGTTTCGAAACTCAAGAATCAAAAGGCGTAACCACTTTCCCCGTTATTAAATATTATTATTTTATTTTATATTAATTGCTTTACACACCTGTAGACGAACGGACCCACCTCCTGCAGCTTGGGCTTCTCGCCGCTGAGGAAGCCATCCGGATTGGTAACATTGTAGATATAGACCTTGGTCAGGCGTATAACGCCGGGTCTCTGCCAATAATGATAGCTCAAGGTATCATTCCACAGCCTTAAATTCTGTTTGCATAAACAAAGCTTAATTAGATACGCAATTGCTTGGTAGAGACGGAGCTGGAACTTACCTTCAGTATAAAATAATCCAGCCATGGTATGGATGATAAAACTATGCCTAAGATTAATGTAACTATACCAATAATTATCACAGCTAGTCTATCTGAAAGTAAAGCAAATACATTTATTCACAGTTAGTCACGGTCAGCACTTCGTTTTTAGGCCTTAGCTCATATTGTAAATCTTAAAACTTGAAAAACCCACACAAATATTTGGCCAGTAAAAGTTGTGACGTGCACACAAAGCCAGCTTCAGCTGTTGCGATATTTTTAATGGACGTGGACAAATAATGACGGGAAGTACGTCATTCTAAGTAGAAGGTGTTACGATATCCAACAGCCCCAGAGTGAAATTTGTGTGATTTGCTGTTTAAAAATATAAGTTGACACGGAGAGTAAGTATATAGGCTTAGTGCACTGTTTGTCTTCTGTATTTACATCCGCTTTAGGCTCTGTCCTAATGGGGAGCAGGCAAATCGTGTTTGTCTGTAGATTCCCCACTTTTATAGCTGAATGTCAAAGTATTTGCAGCCAGAATTATCAAGCTCTTGCTAAAGTATTGACGGACGCTCAAATGGCTTGAGCTCATATCTTACAAAAGATTACAGTTTTCCTTAAAGTTATTTTTCAACTGTGCACTCTCAATACCAAATTCGTGTCACGCATTGAAAACACGACCTGAGCTCAGCTCTGAGAGCCAACCCAAATTCCCGACACGGTTCACACCTCCTTTCCTTGATGAATGCTGTTGCGCGCTGAGTTAAGTTGGAACATAAAATTGTTGCTGCCGAACTTGGTTTCATTGGCATCTCACGGCTGTCACTCACACCCTGAGAGATCATGATCTTGGCCGACTTATTGAAATTGAACTTTTTGCGAGCTTTTGCGATTTGTGATAGGCGTACTCAGTTGATGATGATATTGCGCTTATCAGCCAATTGAGATGCGTTTTCGATTGCAAATCGTTTTGCTAATGGGCCCGTGCACTTAGGCGACTCGATGAATTGCCCATCTGCCATTACCTTGTTGACATTTTGTAGCAGTGGGCGTGGCAATGGCAGTCCTATGTGTCTGTGCAATGCCAACGGGTTTTTTTTTCGGTCGGCGTCCGCGCCCCCCTAAAACAGTCAACGAACTGAATGCACTGGCGGCCAGGCCACACGCGCTGCATTCGCTCTCTAAAAGAAATATATATAAAAAGTGCAGGCCCAGCACTTGAGCATAAGATATACTTTAATATATGTACAAATTTATGTGTATATGTATATACATGTATAGGTATGTATATTGATTTATTGGTGGCGTGCAATTTTCGGGTCTGTCGGTTCAGCATTTCGATAACGCTAGCGAAATTTTTCAACTTGGCATGGATCATAAATCGTAAGCCAGAGATGAGCTCTGGGCGCGATAATTGTATTATTTGTGCAGTCAGAAATCGGCAAAGTTCAAGCGTTTCATTGACCCTGAAAAGCTGTGGCACCACAGAAAAAAATCCAAAAAATAACAATAAACAACAGCAAATTGAGGCAGAGAAAGTTACGTAAATGTCATAAAATCAAGCAGAAAATGTTGACAGTTTGGCAACTGCCTGGCTTACATATACGATATATATTTATATACTTTTTTTTTGGGGCAGCTGTCAAACTGAAGGTCAAGGGAAGCAGAGCCAACTCTTCACAGCGTCACAATCTGATCGCAGCATTTAAAGCCCGCTTAAATTTATCGGCTTTTCGCTGTGCCTTTTTTGCCTGTTGCTGGCTTCATCTGGTTGCGTTATTAGCTCATATCGATAATTACATATATATGCATTTATGTATGTATACATATTTATGTGTACATATATAGATTAGTAGTTGCTGCAATTGACAACGCTTGCATGGGCTGGTCGACATGGTCAATAAACATTTGGCACACAATTGATACGTCAGCGCCTGCTGCCGTTGACAATAATGCTGAGCTCTCAGTTGTTGTTGTTGTTGTTATTGCATGTAAGAATCTGTTGTTGTTAATAAAACTATTTGTTCTGCACATTGTTAAGATACATGCACTCAGTCAGGCGGCATGTGACATGTGCTCGCAAACACTTCTTCAATGTACATCAAATGTTTGTATAGAAATAGATTTAATTCATCGACTTTATTTCATAAAAAGTTTTCACTTTTCACTTTAAGATATTTTCAGATTTACTAAATAGTCCCACTAGAAAATATTTTCTATTTTTTTAATTTTGCCTTGATAACAATTTGGATGAGATCTTCCTCTTCTTCTCTCTCCACAATATCACTAATTTAAATACCAAATTTAGTGCAGATATTTAGTTATTAACTATGCTTAGCTAAGCTTTTTCTGTTTCGTTTCTGCTTCTACTACCAACATATATCCTTCTGTACTTGGTCATGCTGCCACTTCCTTGCCCTGAAGAATGCCCAACTTTGCTTCAACTTCATTGAACTTCAACTTTATTTCACGGCTGACACTCGCACTTGAACTTCTATTTGTTAACGGATCTAAGTAAACTGAATTATTGTAAAATTACATTTGTTTGTGCTGTGATATGCTGTCGTTAAATAACATCTGCGATAACGCTTAAGTGCTCATTCATATCAAAGATTTGTAAAAGTTTGCCAAGCCCAACATATTTCTGATAAGAGCTGATACTGGCTGACCTTAGATTCATCCGCTTGAGTTTACTACAGCAATATTGATTAGAGTTCCGGCTAGAACATTTACTCTTCGGTTTAATGGATTAGGCTGTATTTGCTTGTAAAATATGCGCAATCTTTAGAATTACAGCCGAGGCAGAGGCGTCGTCAACGGGGTAGGCTTTGAGTTACTATATAACTGGCCTACTCATTCCTGGCTATCCCAAGGCTTCTTTTTGCAGACTTGACCATTTCAAACTTCTTGCTGTTAAGGCCAACCCCTTTTGGGCTCAGCCCCTGGCCTCTGCCACTTGATACGGGTGTCATATGGTCGTTTTGTTCAAAATTACAGCTAAGCATGCAATATTGTCGTTGCGCAGTATCTGGTCTCTGGTTTCCATCCGCCTGAACTGAACTCTGGCAATTATGTTGTGAACTCTTGAGGGAACTGCTAGCTAAATGGCAATTGGTTAAAGCCAATTCCAGCTAAGCTTGGCTCTAATGATAACAAATAGGTCGACGCTCTATTTGGCTAATATTGGTTACTTCTGTGCTCGTCGCATTCAGCTCACAAGCGAATGCTAAAATTCGCGCCTGTAACAAAGCGAAGCACTGTGAATAGACGCGGAATTGTGGGTTGCAACAATGCAATAATAACAAAAATAACAATCACAACAATAGCAACAATAGCTGTACATTTGCAACGCTTGCAGCTAAACAATTAAGCTCAGATTTCGTCTCAGAACGTGCCCCAAACTGGTTGGCGGGGGACAGCAACAACAACAGCTACAACAACGACAACAATGCGGCTTGGTGCATGATCTGACTCTCAAGTGCCGCCGATAGCGTTGCCTTACATTGTAAACACTTTTGTTTAAGCAAATTATTGTAATTCTTATGTTGAGGAAATGGACATGGCCTGGCCTGGCGTGGCCTGGCCTGGCCTGGCATTGCGGCGTGCGCATTTCCTTGTGCCGCATACGCCTCACAATTGGCATCCATATGGAGATCAACTGATTCGATACCAATTAGCCAGGCATACATGTGTTCCCAACCGGTTAGCAGTGATCAGGACGTGCCTTCCCGGCAATTGTGTCTTTAACTTATCGCATATTGGCCCTTAATTAAAGCACTTACAACCGATGGCAACGCATTCGACTGGAAAGTTTCGTTTCCCTTTGTTTTTTGTGCTCTTTTTCGGAGGTGTAGCATTCAGCAGAAACATGTTAACAAAATTAAGTAGCTGTAAAGTTACGAGGGCATGCTGTGAAAGTGAAAGGTCGCCGCTGGTGCCCCGGGAAATCCATATAAAAAACCACATTAAGACAAGCAAATTGGCAAATTGGCAAATTGTAATAAAAGAACAACAGAACTTGACATTGGAAAAACAGAAAAGAGAAGAGCAACAATTAAGACGTGAGTCAGAAAGTCACTAAGGAGTTCTCAAAAACCACTTTAAGGAAGCAATCAAAAGCGGGTTTCGAATAATTTAATAAACTGCAGCCAATGGGAATCCCATCAGATGTACATAGCTTCCTCTTTTCTCTGCAAAAGTATCTGCATATCCACCAAAATATAACTCTTATGCATGTGCTTGGATAAGATTCAGAGATGCATACATTTGCAGCTACCAAGTGCGGAGCGAGAGAAGGCCTCGAGAGCGAGGTCTGATCTATTGCATGTGGCCTAAATCAAGTGAATCAACTTTGTATTTGGTTATATAAGCGTAAGACCAAGACTCACGCACACTGCTAAGCGCTGAGTGCGACTTGTTATTGCTAAAGACTCCATCTGAGCTTTGGCCAGTGCAGTTAGCCAGCAGAGACTTCTTCTTGCCAGCCATGGAGGCTGCACATGCAGCAGCGCCTCTGTTGCCGGTGGCAGCAGCAGTGGCACTAGCACTAGCAGTAGCAGTAGCAGTAGTAACCGCGCCTATTTCTGTTTGTGCAGCGCACACAGTGTGTATGGCAAATACCGCGCCCCGCCTCAGCCCTCCAGCGCGCTCTCCGCTACCCCCGGGGACCACCTTTGAGTCGCAGTTAGAATTGGCCAGCTGTGATTGCTAACTTGGCTGCTTAATTGTGTTAATTTGTGTTCACTCTCTTGATGCCGTCAAGCGCTTGGTTAGGCCGAGTCCCATGCTCGAATCCATGTCCAGAGCTAGCCAATCCGCGCCACGCTCCATGCGCCGCTCACCGAACAGTCGCCGTCGTCGTGGTCTCCATCTCAGTTTTTGATCTCACTCGCAGCTTCAAATTTCGGTTTTCGGTATTTCACTTCTCTGGCTCAAGCGCCTGCTGCTTGGACTGGGCCTCTTGAGGTCTTGTATATATTGATTTGGCAACATTTTCATATTTGCTTTGTGTGTACACGACTCGAGTGGGTACATGTATTTGTTAGTTGTAGTATTTGGCAGTTAATAGTTGTTGTTGTTGTTGTTGTTGTTGCTGCTGCAGCAGACAACATTGCACTGGCCAGTTAAGTACCCGCTTCGACTTTTCAATTGCGAATTTTTTATTTCGCCTTTGCCTCACTTCTGTTTTGCGTTTTCCTATGGCTTTTGCTATTTGCTTGTCAGCCTGTTTAGCATGGTATTAGAACTACCTAAGCACAGTGGCACAAAATCAATTGAGAGTCTGTTGGTGGCCTTAACTTGTGCTTTCCTGAATGCGATCAGGAGGCAGAAACAGATGGAAAGAGACGGAGAGACAGCGATGCAAAGTGTGAAATTTGTTTCTATTCTGTCAATCGTGCAAGTTGACTTTAATGGATGATTGACTGACTGTTAAAGCTTCTTAATTTCACAGATGTTAGCTTTGTTCCGCTTAGCTTGACACTTGCTCAATGGAAAACGAAACCTTCGAATGGTTATAGAGAATAATTAAAACTAATATAAAATGCGCAATAAACAGTCTCACAGATCGGAGCAATCATACGACTATAAAAACGAGATGAAACATATATTCTATTGTAGATTTAACGGACCAAGCCGCAAGTAGGAACATTTCAAATTGTTATCAGATCACACGTAATAGAGAAGTGTTTAAAAAATGTCAAGCCTCATGCCAAAGCGAATAGCAAGAGTTGCCGCAGTGCAAACGTGGCTATAAAGCGCGCTGTCAAGTGCAAAGCGCTTAAAAGATTATTCTACGGCAGCGAGAACTTGCCCAAAATGAAGGCAATCAAAAATGTCAACGAAATCGAAAACGAAAACACGGCATATGAAACTGAAAGCGATACGAGTCTTATACAATTTGTCTAAGCCAAGTTCAGAGAGCAAACAGACAGCCGAAGAGAGAGAGAGACATAGAGAGAGAGAGAGAGAGAGAGAGTGATTGAGTCTGTTCAATGTTCTTGGCCATGGTTGTTGTTTGCACACTTGGCTGGTTCGACAACATGAGCGCAGCTCACTCGGCGTATACGCAATGTCGTCAATTGCACAGAACGCGGCTAACTAGGCAAGTCTCGTGTCTGTCTCTCTGTGTCCGTTTCCTTGATTTCAATCTTACTTTGAGCTGTTGTTGATGTTGATGTTGCTTTATAATTTTATTTCAAGTCTGCAGCAGTGGCTTGCCTTGTTGTTGTTGTTATTAGTCGGTATTTTTGGCCAAAGACTTGTTTTGCAGTGCAGTTGCAGTTGCAGTTCTCGGATGACCAGTTTTGATACAAAAAAAATTACAGCAGCAATCGTTTGTTTTTGTTTATTTTTTTTTTTTTAGTTTTTGCCATTTGTTGTTGGTTTTTAGCCCCCACAAGTTAAAAGTGGCGCACAACTTGTTTGGCTTTTATTTTTGGTCAAGTAAACAGCTAAAAGGCAACAACAACAAAAGATATAAAGCAAAAATGTAGTTAACAAAACTCAGCCAATTTGGTAGTTGATATTGACTTTAGGCTGGCTAATTGCGCGTTTAATGATAAAATTTTAATAAGAAATTTTTATGTTGTGTGCAAAAGGCAATAAGAATTTAAAAAAAATATTTAAAGGGAAATCTTAGCTATAAAATTAAAGTTTTCAAAATTCATTAAGTGAAAAAAATAGTTGTTTAAATGTAAAAAATTTAATAAGAATATCCTTTAAAAAATATATATTTATATATCAAATATTTTAATATATTAGTTATATCAAATATTTTTATATTTAACTCAATATATTTTTTTACCTGTTTTAAAAATGTATTACTTTTTTTGTACCAAATATTTAATTTAGTCTATATACAAAATTAAATCTCAACAGTGAAGAAACTTTTGCCTAATACAATAATTTATAAAGATATCCAAAATAATAATGCACAAAATTATTTATAAATATATTTCTTATTTAATTACTTTTTAATTAAATAATCATAATAATTTTTATCAACGATTTCATTTTGTCTCTATTTAAAATCACATTTCAGAATCTTGCCCTAGCTCTAAATGTTTTATTTAACAGTTAAGAGCGGCCAGGTTTGCGCATGACTTGCACTCATAGTTAATACTTACTGTTGCTTATCTTAACGCCATGAGATATTAACATGGATAGCGGCGTTCCTCTGTGTGTTACATGAGGGCGTGAACGCCGCCCCGTGCTTGTTGACCCTTGCGGCTGTTGTTGTTGTTGTTGTGGCTGCAGCTGTTGCTGTTGTTGTTGTTGTTGCTGTCGCCGAGAAGCACGCCCACAGCTGGCCCAGTCAAGCAGGTGATCCCTCGCCGTACGTCCATATCTCAAATAATGTTTTTCTAAGCCCATAATTCAAGTCTGTTAAATGAGATAGAAATAGAATCAAGAGAATTAGCTTTGGCCTGGCGGCTTTAAAGTCAACAACTTATTTGCAATTAAAATTTAATTTGTCTAATCTCTGTTTTTATGGGGTCAGCATCTACGCAAAATGCTTAATTAGAGTTTGGGGGACTTTCTAGGTGCAGAGTCGGTCTAATGCTCAATGGATGCCCTCCAACGAAACACTCGATCTCAATTAAGTCATATACCTCTCATAGAACGTATTAAGAATGTCCGGTATTACAGAAACCCCAGCGATTCGTGCCATAAATTAAGCGCAATAACAACAAACAAATGGTGTACTGCATGGTTAAGCGGTCTGAGAGTGTGCTCGGCCGCCAGATGCCCTTTAACTAGATAAAAAACTTGGACAACTTTCACAGCTGCTGTTTATTCACAACTAAATAAGCATTCTTTTAAGTGTACAGGGTATTATTAATTAAAATAAAACATTTGTCACTTGCTACGTGCTAAGCCCGCGCCGCCTGATAGCAAAAATATTTTTATTATTTATGCAAATGAAGTCGTTGCTGAGATTTCTATTTGTTGGGAAATGGAAAATTTAATAGCCTAAGATCAGCCAGAACGTTTGTTTGAAATCCGTTTGCATGCACGAATAATCGCACGACCCATCGCTTTGCCATGACAAGCAAACACAAAAGACTCAGGCAACGAACTTGCCGAAATGAAACGAAACGAAACAAAACAAAACTTTCATAATTTATGTGCCATGCAGCAGCGACGAGTGTCAGCCTCAACGATCTCCAGCTCATCTCGACGCATGCGAAGTGAATCATTTGTCTGACATAACAGCCCATAACTAAATGAAAAGTTCACTTTTTTGCGTTGTTTTTTTTCGAGATGCTCTGCTACAATTGAGCGATTTTAAAGTTATGAACAAAATGTTGTGTAAAGCACAAAACTATTTAAACACAATTAATGACATTTAGTTGGAGTTTTGCTTTTTATTTTTGTCAACTGCTTTGGGCCAAGTTCAAAAGCCCTCTCTGCTGCTGCTTCTGCTGCTGTCTGCTACGGAATCTGACTTAATTTACGCCAACCCATGTCGAGAAAACGCACAAAAAACAAGAGCTGAGCAAACATATTTTTACTTATTTTTCTGGCTTTCTGGCTGCGCTTAATGAGCATAAAATAATTAAGGCCACTTTTAATTTGCCAACATTTGCGCAATGAGGAAACATGCGAGACGCATGCCAAGGATATATAAGGAATGGAACAGGAAACGCACAAAGGCAGCAGGGAATCGGTGGGAAACAGAGAGAACTGCTTTTTCACATAAGCGAAAGTCAAATATATGGAAAATCTTTAAGGCGTTGAAGAAGTGTTTTGACAGCAGAGAAATATTGTTCATTTACGAATCAGCAAAATGTTTGACATTATTAGAAATGAAACTTATGCCTATAAGGAAACAGTCACGCCTCCTTCCGCCTGTTACATACATTCTCAAATAGCCACTGCACCGGTTTACTCTGCCTTCAATGTGGCGGAGTGTATTAAAAAAGAGAATGACTAAGACAATTTTGGAGTCAAGCAAATAAAAGAGTGGACAAAGGCACTTGCTAAAGGCAGCTAAGCACCTCGTTGAACTTAGCCAAGTATCAACTATAATTTGCAAATGACTCAACGAATTTTGAGTCGTTGTCCAGTGCATTATATCTTGATCTGTGGCGCACTAGACCCAGTTAAAGACCGCATTCTTATGGCCCATTAGCCGAGTGCCAAAATATGGTCAAATTTACAATTCACAATTGCTGTCACTCAAACCATTGAATGGGACTTCGAAATGTTTTCCTCGCCGCATTTAATGTCAGCAATATTTCCACTGCTCGTACACCCCAATTAACCGAACATAAAACACACAGAAACGCTTTCCCGCAATTTGCGGCTCATGAGCGTCGCTAAAGCCAATCCATTAAGAAGTCCCCAAGACAATATCCCAGCCCCGATTTGCAACGTTCCGCCCAGCTCTAAACTGTAACTGAAACACGTTTTAACAATTTTCTGCTTATTTTCACACATTGACTCCGGCAGTTCGGCCGACGACGACTTGGTCACCTGGTCACCTGGCCGTCTGAGCCGCCTCAACTTCTTCTTGGCCCAGCTCGTGTTCAGTTTTGTGCGCTTTTGCTTCTTTGGCATATTATGTAATGCGCGCTTTACCATTTTCCAACTCTTTTCTTCATCTTTCGTTTCTTGAGGAATAGAGACGTAAGTGAAATCAAAGTAACGACTCAAGATAGCCGCACTAACTGCCTAGAAATCGTTAAAAAATAGCTCAAAGATTTGCGTAAATAAAGAAATTACAACAACAGCAACAAAATATTGCAAAATTGCATAAATACAAAATATATTGACCCAAATATAACCAGTCAGGCACATATGGCAAGCAAGCCATGTTGCAATGATCCCGCTCCAGCTCCAGCCGCAGCTCCCAGTTGCTGCTTTCTAACATTGCCAACAGCTGATGACGATATTGAGTCTCGCTTTTGGCCAGCTCATTGGTAATAGTAACACTTTCGATTGCACCAGCTGCAGCGGCAGCAGCAGCAGCAGGTAACCAGACACACCAAACGGGCCATTCCAGCCAGAAGTAAGTAGGTTGCTTGGCCAACAGGCCACTTAGCTGCTAAGCCACTAAACCACTGAGCCGCTGAGCCATTGAGCCACACAGCCATTGTGGCTGCATTTGCCAAAAAAAAAAATCTTCTTGCCTGTTTACACCTGTTGCATTTGCTGGCTTATTGTTATTGTTGCTAATGCTAATGCAATCATGTCGTGCGCATTTCAAAGCATGAGTCAAGAGCTGCGCCTCTATTTAAACGTGAACCAAGTAAATAGACTATGTTGTCCTTTATATATGGTTTAAGATAAAAAGAGGTTGTTATTGTGAGCTATAAAAACCCCTATACTAGATATTCATATAAGCCTCCTGCAAAAAGTAGCAGATAAGAATCTTATTGACATTTGTCTATGTCAACTTCTTATTTACTTCTTCAAGACTTTTGTTTACGTCTTTGATGTAACTCAACCAGTTGAAGAAAAAGAAATAATTTAGAGAAAACCTGATCTGAAGCTAAGCTTGCAGCCAAAGTTGAAGCTGAAGATAGTTAGTTCGCTCGAGTCATCTGCCAATATCACTCCCTCGATCACTGTTTCCCTCTTTTACTCTGACTTCTCTTCTTCCTTATCTGTTGCCTCTCTTTCTCTCTCTCTTAATCTCTCCGTCTTTCTTCTACTCTCTTTTACTCTTCAAAAAAAAAGCCTTTAGAGTATGACAAATTCGTTCAGTCGTTACTGTTGCTGCCGCTCTTGCTACTTGGCTTACAGTAGCCGCCAAATCGAGTGCCCATTGTAGTCGTTGTTGTTTGTCATCTTGTGCACTTGTTTATCTCGTGCGATTGTTGTTGTCGCTGTCTCTTACTCGTTTTTTGATACATTTCACACACACAGCATCCAGCGGTAGCTCCACTGCAGCGCGAAGGTCGCGCGCCATTTATCTTTCTCTTGTGACAGCTGTTCCACATCCAGTTTTGTTGTTGTAGTCGATTTGACTTTTTCTCTCCTGCCGTTTTTTTGACGCACGTCGCTTCCTTTTTATGCACTTTTAATAAATTTTTACTTAATTTTTTCCCTTTACTTATTTTGTGTAAGTATATAAAATTTCAATAAATATTTTGCAACTGCGCTTTCTGCCTGATTACAGGGAGAGAACGAGAGGAGCGACTGGATCGGCACTTGAATGGCTTCATAAGCCAATGCCAAGGAAGCGCCCACAAAAGGGCCGGCAAATGAGCAGAGGAGCAGAGAGACGCAGGGAGGGCTCCACATATCATAATTGGCATCGTTGCGACGCGTTGATTGGCAAATTGTATGCAATTATGGAAACGGACTGGGCGCCCATATAGCAGAAACTTTCTGAATTTTTCGAAATGTTCGAAATGTTTGCAATGACTTGAAAGTTCGTTCATCTTTTGCTCTGTTGACATTGAAACGCCCCAATACTGCGGAAGTTGCCGCCACACACAAGCCCACAGACAGACGGACAGCCAAACAGACAGACGCACGGAGTAGTCGGGCAGCCAGCATAAGTATTTAGCTATAATTGTAGCTTACACATCAGTTGGGTATTCATTAGGGGCCTGAACTTTAAGAGCCCTATAGACATGGCAATTTCTTTGCGTCTGCCAAAAACGAAAAATGCTTCACGCAAGCCCCAAAGGCGCCTCTTAAAAATATTTGCTTGGTTAGTTAGCCCGAGCCAGTCGTCATCTCAGCCATGTAAATTGTTTCGCTGTGCTCAATTAACTTAAATTGGCAACACTTCGAGCGCATCAAATTATTCTCCCAAAAACAAAACAAAAGCAACAGCATTAAATCAATTGTATTAAGTTATTTAATACACACACACACACATTTGCTTATGCAATTCGCAGCAAGTGCAAAAATATAACAAAAGACTTAGGCAACGAACTTGACATCCAGCTGGGTGAAAGGCCAAGATATGTAAATTACATGATATCCGCCGTTCGGCAGCAGATATTGAACTATGGGAAAGAAATCTAATTATATATCTGTTTAGCATGTTAATTTCATCTATTGACTGCCCTTAGCAGGAATATTACAGTTATTATACCGATATCTCGCTCGATTGCGAAATGGCAGCTGAGGTAATAATAGATTTTGTGTTTATAATAAATATTATAAGATGTATTTAGCTCATTTTGCTGACTAAGGCTTTAGTCTGTAATATTTTGTCTAATAACTATTATTTACCTAGAGCTTAGCACTTCGCCTTAAATCTTTGAGCAAACTTCTCTGCTTGGGTAAGTTTCACATATTTGTTGCGCTGTGTATTTCAAGCATCACTTAAGTCAGTAAGATTTTCAGCCTATGCTAGCTACTGTATATTTATCTCCCACGCCCTTTTCTTTGATTACTGCCAAATGGTTTATAAGCCCATTTATTAACTTGGCTTAGCAATTCTTGGTTCAGTTCAGGCTATTGCCACGCGCTCGTCTCTCGGTTGCCGTGGCGAATCGTTGAAGCGTGTCTGCTTCAGCAAATTATTGGCAAACTATATTTTCAATAGTCCGCAGCAGCAGCAACAACAGCAGCAGCAACAGCAACATCAGCAGCAGCAACAGTTGCCTCTGCAGCAGCGCTGCCTGTGCGTCTAGTTCGTTGCTTGTGTTTTGTAATTTATACGTTTATTAGCTATCTCTCTCTTTCACTCAACTTCTCTCAGTCTCTCTTCTTCTCTCTCTCTTTCGTCGCTCTCTGTTTCTCTGTATCTTTGCGGTTTGGCTTACGAGCCATTTTTGGCTGAGCACTTTTAACTCATTTTGCTAAATGCTCTAATTGCGTTGCAGAATTTTATTTTTGGCTTTTACGATTAAGCTTGACTTTAACTGAAAGCAGCAGAAATCCTTGCTGCAGCTGCTTTTTACATGGGCTTTTGATATATTTTTATGAACTACTTAAATTTATTTTTGGGTTTTTTCTGGCCTGGCCAATAAATAGGTGAATTGCGGCTCAAGAGGCTGACAGACGCAGCGAAGGCCGCCTACGAAGCGTGTCCATAACAACAGTAAAAACTAGTAATACTACAATAAAGCCAATCCTAAGTCAATCCTGACCTAAGTCACAGCATTTTTGATTGCCGTTGTTTAGCTGTCTGGCCGCCTGCCTGTCTGCTTGTCTCTCGCTCGTTCGCTCGCGCGTTCGCTGGGCGATTGATGGGCTGCTGCCCAAAAGTTTTGCGCTTATCAATGGGCAAATCAATTTGCAATTAAAAAGCGTGCCGCATATTATATAAACCTATCTATAAGCATATTGTACATTCAGGTTATTAACAAATTGTGCCGCTAGCAGCAACAACAACAACAGCAGCAACAACATCATGTGGCAACATGCGCAAAAAAAACAGCGCCGTGAATCACAAGCTTATGTCAATATATCAATTTAACGGCTAGAAAAGAGTCAAAAAAAACCCAACAACAACAGCAACAATAAAGCAAACACTTTGTCTTGTTACTGTTGTTTTAGCTTTTTGGTGACGTCTGTTGCACTTAACCGTTTTGCAGTTTATGGTTAATTAAGACAACTTCTGTGCCTCGGCTTGGCCAATTTGGTGGGCATCTGCCCATCTTTTTGGCTTTTAGCTGTTAAGTTAAGTGGTCAAAAGAGCGCGAAGAAAAATGAAAATTGCTATTCACGGCGTTTGAAAGCGAAACTGAGTTGTGGAATTTTTTAACGCCAACAGCTGAGATTGATGAGTCCAGTTATGGCAGATAAGCTTGGGCAATCAGCTGAGCTTTGAATTGTCAAATAAGCCAGAAATTCTCAGTATCTCAGAGTACTATATTTTAGATTCTGCAGCTCTTCAATGTCAATGCCGACGCGTGCATTGAACTACAAACGAAAAGAAACGAATCGAAACACTGAAATGCCCAGATTTGATGCTCAACCTTCAAGCAGTTGTGCGTACTTTCGACACACCCCACTTGAAGTTAGCATTTCTTTGCGTTTTGCTTTTCACACTTTTGGTTGTTCATGTTGTTGTTGTTGTGTTGTTGTTGTTGTTGCTGTTGCTGTTGCTGTTGCTGTGTTTAAACGCCAACACAGAAAAGTATTATTTTTAAAGCCCAAACTTGACATTGACTTACATATTTTTAGTTCATTTCTGGGCTATTTTGTAACTGTTGGCTATAAAAGAACGGCATATTTAATGGCAACAATGTTTACCTTTTTGAGCCCCAAAAGCCTCACTGTAATGGGTTAGAGTGTAGGGAGAGCTACGAGCTCCATAAAAGCCAGACACCCTTCACAAAGTATTCGAGTTGCTCATTTCACCTTAACATTGACCTGACCTTTGGGCATATGCAAAACTCTTTAAAATCTAGGTTAAGCAAGAGGGGAAATAACATCATCGTCATCGTCATCATCGTGATCATGATCAATGCTACGTGTTTGCGGTTGCATATTTGCACAAAACCCCGCAACAAATATGCACATGACAGCGACTTCATCTATAAGAAATAGCCACATACAAGACGAAAAAGTGTTGCACAACATTTTGCAGTTGTCGCAAAAAACTTAAATTGTTTAAATATTTAATTGAGGCGAACAAAAAAATAATTAACAAAAGCTGTATATCAACCTGCTATAAAGTGCAAACAAACAAGAGTTTAAGCACTTGAATTCAAAATGTGAAAAGTCCAGAATCTCTACTTGAGCTCAAAGTTAAATTGTTATCTAAGCACAGCATAATATTTGCCCATTCAGTTCTATATATATACATATATTTATATATCAGATAAATGCACTTATAGATCGATATCGTTAACGAGCTTATGCAATGCGCAAAAGATCTGTATTGATTTGCTACTCGACTTAATTTGTTTGCGCTTAGATAAGTGTGATTAAACCGATTAAAGGGCTTCATTTATCTGTGTATTGACATAAGTACTCATCGTAAATGGAATGTATTTGACATGGCTGACACAATTTGCAAGTGGCGTGGAAATTGCGACTATTTTATTCAATACTTATTTCAGTATGATATGTTTGTAAACACAAAATTTCAAATATTTTCATATATTCTCCAGCTCACACTTCAGATAAGTTGAGGACTTTTATATGTTGCGCATACGCACTGTTGGACACACTTACTTTACAATAAGAACTGCGTTTGCTCTGCTGCTAATCCAAAGAACTGAATGGTTATTATTTGAAAGATTGAATTTTTCTTTTGTGTTTCACTCTTAGTTTTGCCTTTTAAGCTAGCCAATTAGCCGCATGTTCATATAAATTGTGATTCAGCTGACAATTTCTCACAGAATTCGCATATCCTTAGCAGCTTTGGGCGCATGCGCAATGCCACATTTTAGCGTGGAGTTATGCAAATGCAAACACCACGCAACAAAATGGAAACCGAAATCAAAATCGAAAATAAATTCGAAAACCAATTCGAAACAGAAACCGAAACCGAAACCGAAACTGAAACCGAAACTCAAACACACAAGAGGCGATCGCGCACTGTTCCCGAGCATGTGTCGTGTGTCGTTTTAAAGTTGAAGTTGACGCGTCGAAATGAAAAGCTCGCATGAATGGACGAACGGCGTCGCAAGACGTTTTTGTTCAAAACGCCAGCTCAGCCGGCGCCGACAGCAGTCGAGGCAGCAGCGACGCCGACTAAGTATCGCCAAAGCTGAGCCGAACAGCAAACGCTGGCAACGACTGCGTCTGTGTGTGTGTGCAAATCTCTGCTTAAGCTGCGGCTGTGCATGTGTGAATATGTGTGTGTGTCTGTGCGAGGCTATATCACTTGGCGCAATCCTCGCTGCGTCGCGTCGCGTCGCCAAAATTTGGCAATCTACACACCACAGCAGATCGGCTAAGCTGCGCTGCACTGCGTTCTCAGCTGTAGCTCAATGGCTCTCAGCTGCCTCAATCCTCGCCGTTGAATTTGGCAATGCACACGGCGCGACGTCGCTGCGCTGCGTTGCGCTCTGCGCTCTGCGCTCAGTTGACTTCGGCAGCATTCTCAGCGCACCAGGCGCGCTTTTGTGAGTTTTCCTTTTGTTGATCTTTACACGTTCGTGCAGAATGGACAGGGGATTTTTTGTTATTCTTGTTATTGTCATAACTGCTGCTTCTGTTGTTGTTGTTGTTGTAGCATTTAATATGCTGAGTCACTTTCTGTTTTAATATATGCGTTGCGGTTCTAGTTTAGTGGCCGTAAACACATCTTGACTTGGAGAGCTGTACATTGAGTGCCGCAATTGCTTCCTATATTGTTTACCTTTGCCATTATCATTAAAGGTTTTTTCCTGAAGGATATGTGATGCGACAGTCGTTGATTACGCATTTAGGTAAGTGTTTCATTTTGACTTTTTGTGCGATAACTCGATTCAGCCAAGGCTTTGCTGGCGTCAGACCCACTTCGACCATTGGAAAATTACGAAGGGCAAAAGTTGAAAAATTACGAAAATTCTGTACGTTAAGTAGTTTAAAGCAAGTCGTCAATTAGAGGTGGAAAACTTTTCAAGCTCAACTCACGCAATATGTTATTATCATTTTTTATTGGCTAGACTTTATACGGACAATCATGAGCTCGGTCGCGCTCAGTTAGCCATAGCAGACCCCTCAAACTATCGCAGCTCTATAAGCACCATGATAGGCAGAAACAACTTTAATTTGCGTACAAATAAGAATTAATAGATAGCATTCTATATTAAAAAATTATAAAAATTTCATTCTAACCGTAGCCAACTGTAGCATAAGGTGTTGTAATTCTTGTGGCTATGATTGCCTACCTACATGTCTTAAGGAGCTGGCATTAAATATACAGCTTAACTGAGAGAAACTATTTCTGTAGGTTCTATATCCATGCATTGGAAATCAATTAAAATACTCGATCTTAACGAACTGTCGACTGATTAGCATATGTCTAGGCAATCGAATAATAGTTCGAGCCGCGCTTGCACGCTCTCAGCGCATTAAATGTCATGTCCAATAAAAGCGGAAACACGCTTTGGGCCCATTGTCGACAGCTAAAAATAAAAGCATTAAAAAAATTATGTTTATTTCTGAGTTACGTTGCTTAAGTTCCTCAAGCACTTGAAGAACTTAAGCAAACTCTCGACTCGAGCGTAAACTTAGTTTAAGCAACAAAAGTGAAATCATGCGTTAAGAAGTGTTTTTTCATTGTTTATAAAAGTTCACTGGAGTCAATGCGAACCAGCTCGGAACAGACTGTGAACCGTTATGGCTAGACATATGTCTGTATGTATTATAAAGCCTACATAAGTGTGTCTATAAGGCACAAGGATTTTGCTGCACTTACAACTGCATAAAAGACCTTAATCTAATAAGCCAGCGAAGGTTGCATTATTTGTATTTTTTCGAGTTGACAAGAATGAGTTAATTACACTCGTGAAACATATTTACAAAAATAAAAATTAAATGTATTTTGTTTATAATTATAATTGTTAGTGTGCTTTTGTTAAGCAGAAAAGGTCACAACTCACATTAAAAGAGAAGATGTCGCTATGGCCAGACTAGCAAAATATATATATATATATATGTATATACTTTAAATAAAGCTCAATTCGCGTTAAGCTAGGGCAGAGGGCGGGGCAGGGTAGGGCTCCACTTTAATGGCGTTGGGCTATTGCAGCTGGCCAAAGCCCCATAACACAGACAAGTTCAAGTTTGTGTAGCACTAAAACAAAACCAAAAAAAAAAATAGCCAAGCAGAAAAACTGCCTAAATGGGTGATTAGTTAACGGCATGTTTAACTTAACATGCGGCTCTTCAAATTTGGTCGAAGTGCCTGTTAAATCAACTAAAAGTTATCTACCTATTCTAACACTCATACACATATATAGATATCTACATATACGTACTTATGATAAATAAAAGTCTGCTGGTAATTATTTCCATATCAACGCCTTCTCAAAGATTTCGCAGAAGACAAAAACTCTAATAAAACGTTGTCCTTCGTAAAGTAATTGAAAACAAAAGTTAAGAAATCAGCGTAAATGCTGTGCAAACTCCTTCTAAGCCAGCCGTCTGTGAATTACGACCCTCTTCAGACCGGGTCAAATATGCTCTGTCTGCTGTGTAAACCCGTTTATGGGCCCGTTCGGGCTTTGAGTAATTAAATAACATGTAAAACTTATTGCAGCGCATACTTCATATATTTTTTTGGCAATATCTATATATACATATATACAATAGCTTATATAGACATATATCATATCTGTTCGCTAGGTCATTTCGCATGTGGCTTGCTTGCCTGATTTCCGATTCATTTGGCAATGAGCTGCCATTTGATCTTTCGATCTTTCCCAAGATACCTGTTTGCACAGGTGATTCAACTTCCAATGTGAAGGATGGTTAAAGATTTTGTAGTATCTGTTATTGTTTGTCCGTGCTTGACATTCTGGCCACACCCTTTTTAATGCTAGGTCGCACTAACTGTCATACCTGTTTACACACTCCAAACTTATGAACATTGCTTAACCACAAGTCATTAAACTTGTATATATAAAATATAAATATATTTATATCCAAAAGTTTCCTTTACTCTCGTGTATATTCCCCATAGCTAACATACACTGTTAACTTTAACAGCGCTCTTGTAATTATGTTTGCCCCCATGTTAGCTCTGCTCAATTATGTTAATCAGTTTGTATGTTTCTGTAGCATACTTTTGGGCTGCAATTAAAAGTTTTTGGCCCATAATCGATCAAATACAATAGTTCAGTTACAATTGCCGCTAAATCAACTTATTTATTACGACTATTTGAATGACTTAAACTCTACAAACTGGTTAAACAGCATCTAATTATACTGTAAAAAATTCTTAATGCCTTGTTTACGTTTCATTTAGAAAATTTTCCAGTATTTGTTTCTGTTCTGACTTGGTATAATTAATTAACTTATTATCATAATGCTCAGGGATGCATTGAATAAAGCAATGTAAATTCTTTAACTGTCTGAGCTTGGGACGGAGAGGGTAAGTGCTGAACTAGCAGATACCCTACTAAATGTTTTTCCACACTATTGGATAATCTTAGCGAGCAATAGCCTAGTTCTGTAATAGAACTTCTATACACCTTATTTCAGCATTTTATTAGCATTAATTGGTGAGTGGGAATTGCTGAACAAGCAGATACCCAAGTACTTCTCGGTTTCTTTATCTAATTCTTAAAGGCAACTATAGTTGCTTTTATGATACCCCATTAGCATCAATAACCCATTATTAAAGTTATTAAACGGGCTTTCATAACACATTGTTATGGCTAACTGTATTCGAAATTATGACCACGTTTGGCATAAAGCCACTCGCAATACGCTGCCCTCTGCTGGCTATAGCTGACCTGACCTTAGCCCCACCAAATTGGGCCATAAAACGGACTGAAGTGCGCTCCAACAAACTCGTTTTTTTATTGCACTTTTTTTAAATACTTTTTTTGCAGTTGCTGCCACTCAATTGTGCATTCAATTACCTCACACACACACTGACTTACCCATCACCTGTTCCTGCACTTGATATAATTAACTCTCTCGGCGAAATCCACATGGCCGTCACTTAATTATGCTTCGATTGGTTTTTAATTATTGCACAATAGTGTTTGGGCTACGTTTTTTGTTTCCTCGCTTACGCTAATTGTTTATTGAGCTTCTCATTTATGACATTTTTGTTTGACATGATCTCACGACTTTTCATATTCAACTGCTGCACAGACTCACCGCGAGAGAGCTCCAACAGAAATTCAGATTTCTTTAGCTTAAGTGAATGGAACAGGAGCGCAGCTGAGTTTGAAAGTAGATCAGTAAATGAAGAAGAGCTAAAGGAAGGATTTTAATTAACATAATAATTATATATATAAATACACTAAATATTAGCTTAAGGTCTTTTATATGATTTTCTAATAATTCAACCCGCGCTCCGCTCCTGTGCTTGCTTCACATTTAATATGCTTTAATTGAACTATGCGACTGACCTGCCGTTATGCGTACATATATACACATATGTGTGTGTATATGTGTGCAACTACATACATGCTGAGTTATGTGTGGAGTGCTCTATGAAGAGCATAAGAAAATAGTTAATATTTCGCAAATATTTCAGCTTTGAAATGCTGTCAAACATTTCATAAACAAATATTGATGCCAGCTCGCCTGCTCAATTAATTAATTATGTAAATGCAACCCTTGCCGCTGTTGCTTAAAATGTCAATCAAATCGAAATACACAAAAACATAAATGCAAATAATAATCAGAAAAAATATAGAGATACAAATATGCGCATCTCTGCAAACAGAACAGAAAAAATAATGCAAATTCAATTTAAATTTGTGGAATCAAAAGTCTGATGCGCTTTGAATGTTGAGGTTGCTGCTAATTCTGCTGCTGCTGTTGCTGTTGCAGCAGTTGAGCCG